AGAGGGGGAGAAGGGGAGAGGGGGTGGGGGAGGAGTTAAGAGGAGGGGAGAAGGGAAGTGGGGAAGGGGAGACAGAAGAAAGCAAGAGGAATGAGCACCGCATAGAAACGCGGAGGAAGTGAGCGTTGATGACACGGTCGTCCGGCGGCTACCACCTCCCATCTCCACGCTTACCACCCCTCCAAATACTAGCAGTAATAGGACGTGAATAAAAAACTATCTGGATGGAATGGCTGGAAAGGGTCCGAGAGGCGAACGGAGACGGGCAACCATGGCCAGAGCAGGTTGAACCCTAAAAGAGAATTCTGCGACGAAGTTACTCTCGAATTGCATAATCTGGTGAGAAAACGAAACCTACCGTGACGAGAACCCAGACGCTGTAGTACGAGAAGACAGTAAGCGCGATCAGAACCAGCACGCCACCGACTACGCGATCCACCGTGTCGCCCATCGCGACTCCTAATTACTTGTGTCTGCTACACTGCTACCCAAATAAACTGAAGCCTGCAATCTCGTGTGTGGTGTGCTGTGTCATTGCATAGAACCACCCCTGCGTGCATGAGACGAGCAGAGAGCGAAGCCAGTGTGAACCTGAGGTGCAACTAGACTAATCCAGGTTTCACCCAATTTTCACATGGGCGAAACGGGTACGAGAATCGATACGACTCATGCGAATTCTAGTCGGCACATCCTGGCGACGAATAGCTTACCCGTTTATGGGGTTACAGGCAGCCTTGGAGACTCGGTGATACTGACAAAACGAGCAACCGATGAAACTCTGTCGGAACTCATCGGTTCAGGTTCATTTAAGCGGGACTTTCTGCTCAGATTTTGCTCGTTTGATGCAACAAGCTCGATTTAGTTTGTTACACCGACAACTCGCGGAACATCGGCGAAAGACGCGCGCATGGCGCCAGCCCATTGGGCAATTACAATCACTGCTGGGCATCTAAAAACCTTCCTGATTTGCAGGCCATTCAGCTGCAGTACACAAGGTCCAGGTAGGAAAGCAAGTTACGGGCACTATGCACTATGGTTTACGGGAAACTGTACGTCCCTCGTTGATCCTGAGAAACACACAAATGAGAAATGCCGTGATTTTCCCTCACGTCAGGAGCTCAAATGTTTTCGGATGACCGCAGGTGCTACAATGAACCCCTTGACTCCGTCATCAGAATTCAAGGATCCTCGCCGCATCAATCAGGGCTTCGGGGATGGTAACGGACAGTAATGAACGACTTCGATGATCGGAACAGATCGAATGGACGGCCGGATGAGCTCGGATAAATGCCACAGCAGTATCAAGGCACAAATGCCTGCCTGACGAGACGACGAGCTTGGTTGCTTGCAGCCACCAGGATTTCACTGTTGCTCCAGCGGCCACCTCTTTCTCCTCCTGCCTTCTGTTCCCATAAAGTGAACCCCATTCCATCCCATCATATCCCATTCCATCTCATCGCATCCCTTCTCCTCCCTTCCCTTGCCCCTATCCATCCAACCACCCACCCATCACCCTCCGCCACCCTTCCCTGTGAAGCAAGGAGCATTCACAAATCTTGGTTCTTGGACCAGAACGTGGTTTTCGGAAGCAACATTACTCCAGGGAACTCCTTGGTTCCTCTACTGCTGTTGCTGACTACCATCCTCTCACATTGCTATGGTAGGGCTGCGATAGGTTTCGCATGCTGCATACCAGCACCGAGTTCGCCTCCAACCCTGGTTTATTGCTCTGAGGTAGAAAGAGAAAAGGCAGGCGGAGTTTTCGCTGTCGGGAGTCGTCTCTGGAAAGCAAATCTCCGTTGCTGCTGACCTGGTCAGGTGCGAGTTTATGTAACATTCTCGGGTTAATCTTTCGGTATGGTAGTGCGAGATTCGCGAGATAGCTCTATTTTATCGTGGTAATGCGGGATTCGCGAGGCAAATTTCTGATGCTGCATTTTCCCAGACAAATAAACGGCAACAACCCCGTATTATTCTCCCACTCTCTTTCATTCGGTTTCTATCCTTCCGCCCTTTTCTCCCTTGCATTCTCTTAATCGTCGGTCCAAGATCACGCCTTACTCTAGCGTTTGTCGAACCGGTGCATTTAGTCGGCTGAGGTGTCGCCTTACTCTAGCGCTGCTGGGTGTTTGTTTAGGCGCAACGACACGTCTTGTTTCTTGTCATTCTTCGCTCCTTATTCTCGTGCTGCTACGTCTGCTAGGTCGATTTTGAGGCGCCTCAAAACTAGTCGCCTGACTTTAGTGCTGCTGGGTGTTTGTTTAGGCGCAATGACACGTCTTGTTTCTTGTCATGCTTCGCTGCTTGATGTCTTGCTGCTACGTCTGCTAGGTCGCCTGATGCCACTGACGCTTCGTGCGGTCGTTTCACAGCATTCTAACGGCTTTCTATCCGGATTCTCGCACACAGTCTTAGATTTATCACGAAGCGGCCATTTCGTTTTGGTAACATTTTCATTCGTCGCAGCTGCGGCGTTGACTCTGCATCGTGTGCGGGGTAGGTCGCTCCTACATGCGCTCTGTTCACATGTCTTTTTGAGACGCCGATGCGAATGCATGCGAAATTCAATTCCATTTTCGTCGAGATTCAAACGTAGTTCTCGCCGATTATGTAGCCGCCGCCGGGAGTAGGCATTCATGTGTTCGTCCATTCGGTTTGGCTTGCACGTCTTCTGGCGACTGAACCGACTCCGCTTGAAAACGCCGTATGTCAGCGCGATTTTTTAGTCGACTCGAAATGCGACTGCTGTTTAAATCGTACGCGGCTGCTTATCGAGTCCTCGCTGAATTCGAGTGCTGGATGAATCGTCGGTGAGGAGTCTATTTTTTTAAGCGCCTCAAGAAATTCGACCTGCTGCTGTCTTAGGTGGGCTCTTTTTTAATCGACTCATAACGCGACTGCCTTTTAGTCGTCTCAAAAGAGAGAAGCGGGGTTAACATGTTCGTGTTCGTCGATGCGTTCTGCTTACACGTCTCAGCGGGAACTTTCGAACAGTGCTCTCGTGACAACGTCACGAGTAACGAACCTGCCTATAACGAAACGAACCCCATAGGTAAGAAATGCGTCCCGAGCATGGGGCAGAGGAGCCCTGACCACATTTTAGACCCAAGCGATTACCTAAACGAACGAATATGTCTTCGCTCACGTTCCTAGCTGGATTCTTGTTGCTGTGCTCGTCTAGCTTGCGTCCCAAGCTTGCGACCACATTGCAGACCCAAGCGATTACCTAAACGAACGAGTCTGTCTTCGCTCATGTCCCTTGCGTTTCGCTGCCTTCTTTATTTCCTTCCCTCCCTCCTCCAATAACTTCCGAACTCCCAGCCATGGCGCCGTCGATACCTATAAGCGGAAGCCGCTGGCTAAACCTGCCGTTCGAGCTGCTGGTGGTGACGCAGCCGGCCTTTGAGTCAACAAAAAAATATTCCCTCCCTCCTCTCCCATCCATATTAACTCATCCCTCGTAACTCTCAGCCATGGCGCCGTCTATACCTGTAAGCGGAAGCCGCTGGCGGGACCTCCCGTTCGTGCTGCTGCTGGTGACGCTGCTGGCGCTCCATCCTCTGCTGCTGGGTGCTGCCGACACCGGTCCGCAGCAGACGCCCGACAGTGAGTATTGGAGTAGCTATTTTGTTACAAGGAGTAGTGGCGGAAGCCGCTGGCTGGACCTGTCGTTCGTGCTGCTGCTGGTGACGCTGCTCGCGCTCCACCCTCTGCTGCTGGGCGCTGCAGACACCGGTCCGCAGCAGACGCCTGACGGTGAGTACTGATGTAACAGTTCTCTTAGGAGGAGAGGAGTTGTGACGGGGCCTGCTGGCTTGACCTGCTGCTGGTTACGCTGCTGGGTGCTGCAGACACCCGCCCTCGCGGCAGTCGCCTGACATGACAGTGAGTGAGTCATGCTGTATTGGTCGTGGTCGACAGCGAATGGTGTAACGTGCATCAGACGACTATTTCGGGCGATGGTGTTTTGCTGCTGTAGTTCTGATACTATTTCCCCCCCCTTCCTTTTCCCCCTTCCCCCTTTCCCCGCTTCCCCACTACCACGCTTTCCCCCACCACAGTGGCGGCTCTGCTGCTGCAGTTGCAGGCAGCATTGCAGTCAACCGCCCCTCGAGTGCTGTCAACGTGGGGAGGAGATAGGGATACCGCAGGAGCCTCTCTCTTTCCCCCTACTTCCCCCCACCCTAATCCTCCTCCTGCTTTCCCTCTTCCCCGCTGCCACGCTTCCCCCGTCCCCGTTCCCCCGTTCCCCCGTTCCCCCCCCCCTCCCCCCTCCACAGCGGCGGCTCTGCTGCAGTTGGAGGCAGCATTGCAGTCAACCGCCACAGGGGTGCTGCCAACGTGGGAGGGGACGGGGATGCCTCATAGACCTCTCTTTTTTCCCTCCTCTCCCCTACCCTAATCCTCCTGCTTTCCCCCTTTTCCCCCTTTCCCCACCACAGTGGCGGCACTGCTGCAGTTGCAGGCAGCATTGCAGTCAACGGCCCCAGGGGTGCTGCCAACGTGGGGAGGGGACGGGGACCCGTGTGAGAAGGCATGGACCACTGACATCCGATGCGACCCTGTCACTCGCCGCGTGGTGCATCTGTGAGTGCATGCATGATATATAAGTGCCACGTGCCATGTCTTGTATGTGTATCGGTGTGAGAAGGCATGCACCGCTGATACAAGATGCGACCCTGTCACTCGCCGTGTGGTGCATCTGTGAGTTGTCATGCGACACATGCCCTGCGGGCCTGCGTGTTGTTGCATGCATGCGCCTTTGTGGGTACCTGTGTGAGAAGGCACAGGTTACAAGTGTACAATGCGATCCTGTCACTCGCCATGTTTCATGCGCCGTGCATACTGTCTTCTTTTGAGTTGACTCAGGCGCGCCCTGCATACTGTTTTCTTCTTTGTGTTGCCTTGAGCTGCCTGCTACGGATATCTCATGCTTTTGTCTTGTGTTGCTGCCTTCTCTCTCTGTTGGCCCGTTCCTGGCGTTCCTGCAGCGATCTCAAGCGTTCAGGCCTCGTTGGGAACATTCCAACCTTTGAACTCTCCCTATTCGATGCTCTCACATACCTGTAAGTGCACATACGCATGCTCTCACATACCTTTAATGCACATACGCATGCTCCCACATACCTGTGTAAGTGCACATACGCATGCTCTCACATACCCGTAAGCGCACATACGCATGCTCTCACATACCTGTAAGTAAGCGCACATACGCATGCTCTCACATACCTGTAAGCGCACGTACGCATGCTCTCACATACCCGTAAGCGCACATACGCATGCTCTCACATACCTGTAAGCGCCCATACGCATGCTCTCGCATACCTGGAAGCACACATACGCATGCTCTCACATACTTGTAAGCGCACATACGCATACTTCACACACCTGTAAGCGCACATACACATGCTCTCACGTACCTGTAAGCTTGCATCTGTGGCCCCTACACGCCTGCAAGACCACATCCGTGTAAGTCGCTCGCACATCGTGCTGTCCCTCTGCCCTCTGCTCCATTCTTTTTCATATTGCGTGCCTTAAACGCATCATCTCCCTCCCCTTCCCTCCTCCCCCCCTTCCCTCCTCCTCCCCCTTCCCCCTCTCCCCCCCTTCCCTCCTCCCCCCCCTCCCCTCCTCCCCACCCCATCTCTCTCAAACCCACCACCGCCATCACCACCGCCATCACCACCGCCATCACCACTGTCATCTCCGTTGCTGCTCTCCAGATACCTGGCTGCCAACAACTTCTCGGCGTTCAACGGCCAGGATGCGCCCGTTGTGCAGATGACCAGTCTTTTGCACGATTCCTCGTGTCCGCTCCCCGTCACTCAAATTTGATTCTTCCTCTCCGTACGATTCTTACTATATTCCCCAGAGACCTGGCTGCCAACGACTTCTCGGCGTTCAATGGCCACACGTACATCGTGCAGTTGACGAGTCTGCAGTACCTATCCTGAGGCGCCTGAGCCGCCTCAAGACATTCCCGTCCCCACTCTTCCATTCTCACCCCTGCCCGTTGTTGCCCCCCCCCCAGGGACCTGGCTGCGAACAACTTCTCGGCGTTCAACGGCCAGGAGTTCATCGTGCAGATGACCAGCCTGCAGCACCTGTACGTTCACCGCCCCCACTCAAGCATCTGTACTGTACGCCCCTCCTCCCGTTGAGGCATCGTTGCGTTTCCATTCCTGAGTCCCCTTAAAGCCCGCAGTCCGGATTGTCCAAGAAGGGGGGTTTGTTAAACACTTCAAGCGGTGTAGCGAACTTTTTACTATGGGCGCGGAGGTTGGCGAATTTTTGTTGGGGTTCGCTATCCAACCGAATCCCCCCCCCCCCCCTGTTCAACTGCTACCCAGGGCTTTAAATGCCGTTCAGATGACCATCCATCCCCAAGGATCTTCGCCAAGGCCCCCATTCATGAGATGAGACGAGGTCGTTAGTTTTGAGACGTCTCAAAACATTCTTTCCTGAGTCCCCTTGAATGCTGTTCAGAAGACCATCCATCTATCCTCAAGGATCTTCGCCCGCTTGCCTCACAACACAACATCGTTTCCATCCACCCCAGGTCTCTGGCGAGGAGCAACATGAAGTAGTTCTGTACGGATGTCACTCCCTCCTCTCTCTTCCCTTCCCCCCATTCCCCCCCACCTTCCTCCCCCCCCCTCTTCCCCCCCCCCTTCCCCCCCCCGCCCTTCGGTCCCACCCATACCCTTTGCGCCTCACAACATCGTTTCCACCCACCCCCAGGTCTCTGGCGAGGAGCAACGTGAAGTGGTTCCCACTGACGCCTCTCCCCCCCCTGTATGTCCCACCCTTACCCCCTGTGCTTCATATGACCCTTCTCATCCACCCACTCCCAGGTCTCTGGCAAGGAACAACATGAAGTGGTTCCCTACAGACGTCGACATGCTCACAAGCCTCACCTTCCTGTAAGCACACCTCTTACAACAACACATCTCACCTCCATAGAAGCACAATTCACCTCTTGTGAACACGCCTTACCTTCAATAAACAATCCATTCCGAACCTTCCGTTGTGGGCTCACCTTACCTTACCTCCTTCAGCAGCACCGCACCGCACACATGCCTCTCTCCCCTTCCCACCAGCACCACCTCCTTCCCAGTGTTTCGTTCAAAAAACGAGATGGTGCAGCAGCCCGGTTGCTGAGACACCACCTCCCGCAGCTTCTCCCACTCATCAGCAACAACTCCTTGTATTGATGTATCCTCCCACGCAGATGTATCCATCCTCCATCTGTCTTAAGCTCCTTGACTTCTCCCTTACCCATTACCGTCGTCCATTGCCCTATCAAACCCCCATCTCCCAAATTGCAGCCCCCCTCACTTCCCCACCTTCAGCAGTTTGAGCAACAACCAGTTGGATGGCAGGATTCCCGAAGATATCTTCCAACTCCTGCCGTTTCCCGCTCACAAATCTCCCACCTCCCCACCCCACCTTTCCACTCCACCTCCCCACCCCACCTTCCCATTCCACCTCCCCACCCCACCTTCCCACTCCACCTCCCCACCCGACCTCCCCACTCCACCTCCCCGCCCCACCTCCCCACCCGACCTCCCCACTCCACCTCCCCGCCCCACCTCCCCACTCCACCTCCCCACCCCCCCCCCCACGGCCCATTCCGCGCTCCCCCCCCCCAGCGACCTGAGCAACAACCAGTTTGACGGCAAGATCCCCATGGACATCTTCCAGCTCCGCAACTTGGAAGTGCTGTACGTTGCTACGCCACTCTTGGTTCCCGTCGTCCTACGCAGTCCTTGATCCGCCTCGAATCGCTTCAGACACGCTGCTCTTAAGTGGCAACATCCGTTTAAGAATAAATATATGAATGGATAAATAAATAAATATACATATATCTAAACTGTGTCATTGGAAGGAACTGCTTTGCATTGCTGCTCCTCCTTTTCTCTGCCTCTCAAGTTTCCACCCTCACTCCCACCTCGCCTCACCTCCTCTACTCCGTCTCGCTTTCTGACTCGCTCCGACCTTCTTCCCCATCTCTCCTTCCTTTCCCCCCCAAACCTCAAGTCCCTTTTGAGGCGCCTCAAAAATCTTTCTGACTCGCTCCTACCTTCTTCCCCATCTCTCCTTCGCTTCCCCCCAAACCTCAAGCCCTTTTTGAGGCACCTAAAAAATATTTCTGACTCGCTCCTACCTTCTTCCCCATCTCTCCTTCGTTTCTCCCCCAAACCTCAAGTCCTTTGTTACCCTCTCATCCTCCAATGCCCCTACCATACCCCAAAACAGGTCACTGGAAAACAACCTGTTCACAGGGAGTGTGCCTCGCACTCTCAGCAACCTCGTCCGCCTCAAGACACTGTAAGACACTATCTCAGCAACTCTAATCGAAGCTACGGGCGTTTCAAAGTGTCATCATGAACCGCACTTGCAATTCTGCATTGTGTCTCTATGAGGAGTAGAGCCCCGCACTTTCCTTTCCCAGAAGATGTATGGACTATAATAATCACAGAAATCATACCGTTTTCCCACCCCCCTCCGTGACCACCCACACCACACCACCACACCACCACCACCACCACACCCACGCACATGCAGCAATCTCGGCAAGAACGACTTCTATGGGCCTCTTCCACAGTTCTTTGGCGCCATGCACGACCTGGTCAACCTGTGAGTTGCCCTCTCACCCTGTTCATGCAGCTTGTGCTTCTAGTCCATTCGTGCCATGATGTGCTCCACTCACCTTAAAGCTCCTTGGTGGTGGGTGATTTTTTGAGGCGCCTAAAAAAATGTGTTTCTAGTCCATTCGTGCCATGATGTGCTCCAGTCACCTTCAAGCTCCTTGGTGGTGGTGGGTGAATCCATCCATGCATTGTGGGGCTCATTTGTCGTGGCTGGTAGTAGGTATGGCTTGCCATGTGCCTTTCATGCTGTCTGTCTGGCGTGGTTTTGCATGGTGTGGCCTGGCCCATCCTGCAACATGACTCGCATGGCATGGCATGGCATGGTCTAATGGCATGATGGCATGATGACATGATGGCAGGAAGATGGACCTGAATCGCCTGGAAGGGACCATCCCCGACACCTTTGCCATCCTCAGGAACCTCCGCCGCTTGTACGTGCCCGTCTGCCTGCCATTCTCTTGTTTATGCTTTTGAGTCGACTCAAAAGCGTCCTGAGGAACCTCCCCCACTTGTACGTGCCCCTGTCTGCCTGCCATTCTTGAGGCGCCTCAAAACTGAGACTACTTTTGACGCGCTTCCAGACTGAGACTATTTTTTAGGCGCCTCAAAATAGTTACTTTTGCCATTCTCAAGAACCTCAGGCGCGTGTACGTGCCCCTGACTGTCATTCTCTTATTCTTTGCCTGTCTCCTCCCTTCTTCGTCCTTGCTTACCTTCCATGCCACACTCCCGGAATGGAGTGTGGCTCACTGCCTGCCAGGCAGCCATGTCACAAACCTCCATTCCTCCCACCCACCCCCCCTCCCTCCCCCTCCCCCCCCGCCCCCCAAAAAAATAATCGCCAGGGACCTAAGCTCCAACAAGAACCTCACCGGCCCTTAGCTTGCCTGGCCTAAAAGAAGCCCTTGATTCTCGCCCTCCTCCCTCTCTCTTTCTCTCTCTCCAGGGACCTGAGCTCCAACAAGAACCTCACCGGCCCTCTCCCCAGCTTCTTGGGCGAGCTCGGTCTGCTGCAGTCACTGGTGAGTCAACGGGGTCGATTAACCCTGGTGCAGGCGTTTGAGAGTGGGAGGTATCACTTCTATCTACCTAGCTTCCTGGCCGAGCAGCAGTTTACTGTAAGTCAACGGGACGACGGCTGGCCAATTTTTTTGGGGGGGGAAGGATTCGCTCTGCAGTGCCAGTCACTGTAAGTCAACGGGTTGAAACCCTGGCCGGTATGCTTGGGTTTAGGAGGGGAGATTTGGTGACGGTTTTCTTATATAAGGCATTTCCTCCCTCCTACCCACAGGGCGTCTCTGGGCACGAACAAGAGCTGCCATTTCGTTTTGAATTGACTCAAAACGAAACTACCCACCGGGTTTCTTTTGGCATGAACAAGAGCTCCCATTTCTCATTTTCCACTGTGCCTGCCTCGACCGAAAGCAGTATCGGTTGGGTGGGCCTGCAGGGGGTTAACCACAGGAGAGGCTAATAGTCACCGCCCCCCCCCCTCGCTTCCCAAAAGTTCACTGGACGACTGTGACTTCACCGGTGGTCTTCTGGAGTCCCTCACCCACCTGCCCTATCTGATGGAGCTCTTCCTTGAGCACAACCGCTTTGCGGGCTCCATCCCCCCAACCACTCTTCACCGTCCCTCACTCCCCCCCAACAGTTCACCGGACGACTGTGACTTCACTGGCGGTCTTATCGAGTCGCTCGCCCGCCTCCCCCTACCTCACGGAGCTCTTCCTCAAGCACCAACCGCTTTGAAGGCTCCATCCATTCCCCACTAACCAACCCTCTGCGGTGCTTTCCTTTCCCAACAGCTCTCTGGACGACTGTGACTTCACTGGCGGCCTCCTGGAGTCCCTCGCCCGCCTGCCCTACCTGACCGAGCTCTTTCTGAGCACAACCGCTTTGAAGGCTCCATCCCTGAGGCGTTTGGGCACTTCCCGCGCATCGTGTCGCTCTACCTCAGCAGCAATCGGCTCACCGGGCCGATTCCAGAGAGCATGTGTGGTCTGGCCACGGTGGAGCTGCTGGTGCTGGAGAGGAACGAGCTCACTGGGCCGATTCCCCCCTGCATGACGCAGCTGCAGGGGCTGCTGATCCTGTGAGCAGGCGGAGGGGTGGGATCCGGGGTATGGGGCTTATGCCTGCATGTGGGTTAATTTCAGAGAGCATGTGTGGTCTGGCCACGGTGGAGCTGCTGGTGCTGGAGAGGAACGAGCTCACTGGACTGATCCGCCCTTGCATGATGCAGCTGCAGGGACTGCTGATCCTGTGAGTGCTTACGCATGTGGTGGTGGTGGTGAGATTGGGGAAGGGGAAAGGGAGGGAGGAAGAGGGTTGCGAGGAAGGAAAAGGAAACAGGGAGCCTTGCAGCAGGGAGAGGGACGAGCTCTCTGGACCGATCCCCCCCATGTATGGGGGACTGCTGATCCTGCAGTCCCTGCAGCTCTCTGCCGCTGCAGGGACTGCTGATCCTGTGAGTGCTTACGCCTGTGGTGGTGGTGGCGAGAAATGGGGAAGGGGAAAGGGAGGAACATGAAGGGGGTTGCGATGAAGGAAACAGGGAGAGGGACGAGCTCTCTGAACTGGTTCCCCACCCCCATGTATGGTGCAGCTGCAGGGACTGCTGATCCTGTGAGCTACTGTGCGCATGTTTGTATTTCCTGCTTCAAATATTCGTAATTGCAGGCAGGCTCCGTTTTCACCACGAATTTCCTCGTCTGTATACCTGCCTACCTTACCCAATACCTTCAGTACGTTTTGATACGTCTCAAACAATGCTCCATTTTCACAGCGAATTTTCTCGTCTGTATACCACCTACCTTACCCAATACCTCCCCTCCCTCCACCCCTTCCGCTCCAAACCACCCCTCTCCAAACCCCTTCTCACCCAACCCAATCCACAGGGACGTGTCGGAGAACTACCTCGCTAGCACGATTACTGTTGTTCCTTCGGCAGACCAATGCGGTCTGTTTCTAAGGCATCTCAATTATACACCCTCCAAACCAAACTCTGTCCCACCTGCCCTGCCCCAATCCACAGGGACGTGTCGGAGAACTACCTCACAGGCACGATTCCCGTTGTCCCACCCGGCGCACCCATCCAGTTTGTGTGAGTAGCAGAGTCGAGATTCGTCTGTGTAGCATGTCTGGCTGGGTAACGTTTCCCTTTCTCACAACTGCGTGGCGTTTTTCTTTCTCGTGGCTGGGGGGCTGGCTGCATCATGCAGTCGTGGTTTCCCCTTGCTCTTCTCGCCTTGCAGTGCGTCCCATCACTCGAGACCCGTTGCCGCCCATATCTGCTCGCCCCTACCCTCTCTCCCCTCTGTTCCCTACTCTCAACCTTTTCCTACCCACCCGCCCTTCCCTCCCTCATCCCCTCCGCCAGATACATCAACAATTGCTTTGACGGGGCGGACGCCAACTCCCCCTCCTGCCCCGCAAAGCCACCTGGAGCAGCGGCAGGGACATTGGCAGGGTCCACTCCCTGGTTGCTCAATCCCCCCACCACCACTCCCCTACCCCCCCTTTTCCTTCCCAACACAACCCCCCCCCCCCCCCCCCCCCCCCCCACCCGCCCCTTTCACAGCTACACCAACAACTGCTTTGACAGGGCGGAGGACAACTCCCCCTCCTGCCCCGCAAAGCCACCTGGAGCACTGCCATCGGGGGGACAGGTGGGGGTGCCGATCGATCAGCAGCAAGGGGGCGGATCCCTCAACCAGCAGGTTGGCGTACCCATCGATCAGCAGGGAGGGGGACCTATGAGCCAGCAGGTCGGGGTCCCCATCAACCAGCAGCCTCCGGGTGGTGTTCCTGTGCCTGGCGTCACTACCCCGCCCTGCCCTGACAGTGAGTGCTCTAGAAGGTATAACCAGTTACCACATCTCCATGTGCTGATGGTTAGCGGCAGCACCCCTCAGCCAGCAGGTGGGGAGGGGATCCCCATCGGCCAGCAGCCTCCGGGGAGCGTGCCTGTGCCTGGCGTTACATTGTAACGGTTACAACCCCTCCCTGCCCCGACAGCGAGTACTCTCACAGGTGTTTTGAGACGATTGAAAAGAAACTGACTTCCCTCCAGCAGTCCCCCTTCCCCTTCTCCTTCTCCTTGTCCTTGTTTCTCTTCCATTCGTCTCTGGTTTGATTTTTGAGGCGCCTCAAGAACCCTTCTCCTTGTCCTTGTTTCGCTTCCCTTCATCTCTGTTTGCATCAGGATTCAGACCATTGGTGGCCGTGGCCCTGCTGACAGCTCTGCTATGCCCCGATGCTCCCAATGCCCCTGATGCCCTGCACAGCACTGCAGTTGTGGAATCTGAGTTAACTTCCTACCATCTCCCCCCTCTCCTTGCCCTCCCTTCTCTGTTTCGCGTGTTTCTTCTCTGTTGGCGGTCGGCCCACTGGTGGCGTTGCAGGCAGCGCTGCAGATGTCATCTCGTGACGCACTGCAGACATGGGATCATGAGGACTGAAAGTGCCTTCTTCCTTGTTCTCTTTCCCGTGGCTCCATATTCTCCCCTTTCCAGTTGGGCCGCTGGTAGCCCTGCAGGCAGCGCTGCAGATGTCATCTCCTGACGCGCTGCAGACATGGGACCAGGGGTCGGACCCCTGCGACGGCACGTGGGAGACTGAGGTTATCTGCGACCCCATGACCGGCCATGTCATTCGCCTGTGAGTTGGTGTCTTGAGGCGCCTAATAACAGATGCCTTGCAGTCAGCCATAGGACCAAGAGACAGACCCACAGGCAGACCCCTGCGACGGCACGTGGGAGACTGAGGTTATCTGCGACCCCATGACTGGCCACGTCATTCGCCTGTGAGTTGATGATGTTAATGATTGAGGCGCTTGAAAACAGATGTCTGCAGTCAGTCATGGGGCCAGGGGTCAGACCTATGCAATGCCATGTGGGAGGCAGAAATCATCTGCGACCCCATGACCGACCGGCCATGCCATTTGCCTGTGAGTGAGTCCTGCTCTGCCCAGCCTTATAAGCATCCCAACACATTGTGTTTGCACTTTCCCTCCCCATGACCCTCATGATATCTCGAATGAGGGGAAGGCATGAGGCATGCGGACCATCACTTTACCATCATGCACTCCCCTCCCCTTCCCTTCCCTCTCCCATCGTCCCTCTCTCCTCCTCTGTTCAGCGACCTCTCCGGGCCAACCTGAAGAAACATCTTGGCAGCAGAGCTGGCTTTTCATGGGGATGCTAAACAATCTTCCCTCAACCACCCTTCTTTCTTGTATCTGCTGCAGCGACCTGCGTCGGGCCAACCTGTCCGGAGAAATCCCGTCAGCAGAACTGGCACAGCTGAACCGCCTCACTTACCTGTGAGTGCCAAACCCAGTACTTGGTCTCTGAGCCTGAATTGGTTTCTGAGGCTGTGCTTGAGGCGCTTCAAAAGCAGGCGTTGCAGCAGAACTGGCACAGCTGAACCGCCTCACTTACTGTGAGTGCAACGCGCTTGAAACAGCCACAGGAAGAGCAACAAGAAGAAACACTGACAGTTAATAAATAGTAACCCTTTGAGTGACCGAATTGTTCTTTAGGTGCCTGAAACAGTTCCTGAAGGCTGTGGGCGAGGCACTCTAAGAAACTGACCAGGTAGTAGCTGGTGCAGCTACATCACTCCTGTGAGAAATCCCCTTTTCCCCTGCCCTCACGTGCAACCGCTCCCCTCCCCCCCAACCCCCCCCCCCCCCCCCCCCCCCCCCCCCCCCCCCCCCCCCCCCCCCCACACTCACACTCATTTGTTTGCTCCGTTTTGCCCTCCTTTCTCTTTCGTTTAATCCCGCCCCACTGCAGTGACCTGGGCGGCAACGAATTCACGTCCTTCATCCAGCAGGAGTTCTTGGAGAGGCTCACCCGCTTGGAGTACCTGTAAGTGTGATGCTTAGCTTAGCTGTAGCCCTTGATTTGTTTGTAAGTGATGCTGCTGCAGTGGCCTGGGCTGGGAGCAACGGATTCACGGCATTCATTCAGCAGGAGTTCATGGAGAGGCGCACATGTCTGGAGCACCTGTAAGTGTTTCGCTTAGCTGTAAGCCCTTAACGCATCCAAGGCATTTAGTGTGATGTGGAATGCAAAAGTGTGAAGCTTAGCCACAGCTGAGCCTCGGCTTTGTGCTCATCCCTGCTGGTGGCCCTTTGTAGCCCGCGTGATAGGAATCTAGATTTGAGGCACCTCAAAACTTTGCTCGAGGCCCAGCTTGAGGCCCACCCTCTCTACTCTCCACCCTTCTCCCGTCCGTCCCCCTCTCCACCCGTCCACCACCCAATTTTCCTTTCCCCTTCTCTCGCACTTCAGCTCTCTGCTGTACAGTTGCAATGGTCTGGTTCCCCAACCTCCATCAATGCTCTCCTCCCTCTCGCATCCCCCCCCCCCCCCACCCCTCTCCCCCTCATCCTCCGTTCTCCCCTTTTCAGCTCTCTGGCGGACAACCAGCTGAAATGGTTTCCCACCTTCATCAATGCTCTCACGAAACTTACATCGCTGTAAGAGTCTAATGCAGTTGCGATGTTTGTTTTCTATGCAAACAGACGAAGAGTTCCCCTCCCCCTCCCACCCCCCCCCCCCCCCCCCCCCTCCCCTTTGTTTTCCACTGCTTCCACCGCTGATTTGTTTCCTCTTCTCACTTCATGTTGTGAGGTTCCAAAGGAACCATGAGCTGAGCCCCAGGCCTGCCCATCCCATCCTGTATTCTCTCCCCCTCTTCTTACCCTCTCTCCTCTTCGCCCTCTCCTCTTCGCCCTCTCCTCTTCGCCCTCTCCTCTTCGCCCTCTCCTCTTCGCCCTCTCCTCTTCGCCCTCTCCTCTTCGCCCTCTCCTCTTCGCCCTCTCCTCTTCGCCCTCTCCTCTTCGCCCTCTCCTCTTCGCCCTCTCCTCTTCGCCCTCTCCTCTTCGCCCTCTCCTCTTCGCCCTCTCCTCTTCACCCTCTCCTCTTCGCCCTCTCCTCTTCACCCTCTCCTCTTCGCCCTCGCCTCTTCACCCTCCCCTCCTCTATCTCCCTTCAGTGATCTGAGCACCAATCAATTCACGGGTGAATTTCCGGAGGACGTCCTCGTGATGCCCAACCTGCTGCACCTGTGAGTTGCCCCCCACGACCCCCACCTGGTGCATTTGCAAGTCTCCTTCCCAAAAATACGGCGAGACCAGTACTCTTGTCAAGTTGTGTTTCACTTTCATATGCTCGTCCTTCGCTTGTGCTAATCTCCTTTGATTGGATTGGACCCTTACCACTCACTCCCCCTTCGTGTTCTTCCCTTCTCCCCATCACCCTCTCCTCTCCCATCCATGCCATTCTTCTGCAGCAAGTTGGAGGAGAACCGTTTCGTTGGTGGTGTGCCTGACGCCATCACTGACCTCAGCAAGCTCCGATCCATGTGAGTCAGTGCCTTTTGAGTCAGTGCACTGACATGGAAACTCTAAAGTCCACCTCGTTTCGAGGTGACTTCTGCCTTTTGAGTCGACTCAAAAGTGTTGTGTGACATTGTTGTAACGAGGTGACTTTTGAGTCGACTCAAAAGGCAAAAGTCACCTCGTTACAACGATCCATATCAGTGCCTTTTGAGTCAGTGCACTGACGTGGAAACTCAAAAAGTCCACCTCGTTTCCTTCCATGTCAGTGCGCTCTGCGTATCTGCATGTTAGTGCGCTCTGCATGTTAGTGCGCTCTGCATGTCAGTGCTCCCTGCATGTCTGCATGTCGGTGCTCTCTGCATGTCTGCATGTCAGCGCTCTCTGCATGTCTGGATGGCAGTGCCACTGATGTTTGCCCCGCACCACCCGCCCTCTGCCCTCGCAGCACCCTAGCCGGCAACAACTTCACCGGCCTGCTGCCTGAATCGCTTGCGCAGCTCACATCCCTTCAGGCCATGTGAGCAGCAGGGGAAGGGTGGTGATAGATTGGAGTTTTTTTTTTTTTTTTTAGATTATGAAAAATCACTCTTCTCTTGCACAGCTCACCTCTCTTCAAACCATGTGAGAAGGAAGGGGGAGGGTGATAGTTACGGTGTGTGTGGTGTTTGCTGGTAGATGTGAGAAGCAAGGGAAGGGTGATAGAGTGTGTGTGCAGCAGGCGTTCATGGGGAGTCGCGAGCAGCATGGGGAATGAAGCCATGTGAGAGCGGAAAATGGTCTGTTGACCTCTCTACACCCTCCCAAAACACCCCCCCCCCCCCCCCCCCCCCACCCCACCCCTCCCTCATCCTCCTCTCCCCTCTCTCCCCTCCAACCCTCTTCGCTCCCTCCCACCTCCCCCGGCCCTCGTCTGCAGCTACCTCGCGAGCAGCCAGGTTGCTGGGCCGCTGCCTGAAAGCTACCTCGTGCATAGCAAACAGTCCATTGACATGTCTCCACCCCCATCCCACAATGGAGCCACTTTTGAGAATTCCAAGAATGACTCCATAGTGACCTGAATGCTACCTCGTGTGCATCAAACAGTTCAATGACATCTCTACACCCCCACCACCCCCCCCTTCCCCTTCCCCCCTCCTCTTCCCACTGTAACCCCTCCCCGCCCTCCCACTCCCGGCTGCAGCAACCTCGCGAGCAACCAGTTTGCTGGGCCACTGCCGGAAAGCTATGCTGGGCTGACCAACATGGTGTTCTTGTGAGTGATACGGCTGATGTGCTTATGGTGTGCGGATAGGCGCACTTGCAGCTTTCAGACAGCTATGCAGGGCTGACCAACATGGTCTTCTTGTGAGTGATAGGGTTGATGTGCTTATGGTGTGTAAGTGCTTACAGGCTGTGGTATGATAATCCGTTTTGTGTGAGTGATCGTTGTCGTCTTGTCAGTGCGATAACAATTGGCGCTCTGCTTTCGCGCGATAAACGGATTCATCTATCTATCTTGGCGCATCCACTCTCTTTCCTCTCTCCCCCTCTTTCTCCCTCTCTTTGCCAGCAAAGTGGCGACCAACAATCTTGAGGGGGGCATCCCTGACTGGCTGGGCTCCTGGCCTCGACTCAACCACCTGTGAGTGCGACGCTGTTTCGCTGAGAATCTGGGAAGGGTAGCAGCAAGCTTGCATGCGTGCATAGTGTAGCATGTGCAGTGTGGACTGTCGTCGTACATGCATGCTCATGCCATTGGCACTGTGGCACATGTTCACCTGTCGTGAAACCATCCCTGCAGAACTCCCCACACCCAACCACCACCCCTCCCCCTCCTCCACCCCACTCCCTGCCGGTTCCACCTCCTCCACATCTCCTCTCCCGTGTCTGCAGGTCAGGTCATTGTTTCCCTAACAGGTTCACAGGACCCGTGGTCTGAGGCTCCTCAACAAAACGCGCCCCTGTCCTTCCCCCCCATTTCCGCCCCCCCCCCCCTCCCCCCTCCCCCCCCGGGCCAAACCTTCTTTCCCCTGTCTCCAGGTCGTTGTTCCACAACAGGTTCACGGGACTCATCCCCGAATCCCTTGCCACTGCCAGCAACCTTGCCACCTTGTCAGTTCGTCCACCCCTCCCTCCCTCCTTTTGTTTTGTTCTACTGGAGGCCTAGAGACTCCTTGTCTGTTCATTCGTCCCTCCCTCCTTTTTTTTGTTCTACTAGAGGTCTTTAGACTCCTTGTCTTGTCTGTCAGTTGACCACAGTTCCCAGTTTTATTGCAGCAGATTGTTTCCTTCCACCCTCCTGTGCATTTTCTCCCTCCCCAATCCCCCACCCCCCATCCAACCCCCAATCTCCTCCCCAATTCCCGTTTCCCCTCTTCTCACCCCCAAGTCGTTTTCCTCTGTTTTCATCTCCCCAGTCTCTTCCCATTGTTTCCCTCCCGCCTGTCCTTTTCACTCACAACTCTCAAAAGCGTCCTTTGACTCCTCTCACACCTGCTTGTCCCTCCCCCTCCAATGCCTTCCCATGTCTGCCTTCCTCTCCTATACCACGTTTCACGCTCTTTCAGGGTTCTGGATGAGAACCAGCTGACGGGTTTCCCTGCCAGACGCCCTCAGCGCGCTCACCAACCTCGAAGCATTGTACGGCTCATGTGCATGTGCACCCGCACACACTCACACGCACACACATACACAAGCATGCACGCACCGGCGCACGAGCGCAAAGCAAAGCCCTCCTGCCACCTGCGAGCACTCGCACTCACAGGGGGGTTTCGGTTTGCCATTCGCACCTTGCCTGCCTCGCCCCTGCTGCCACAGCTTTCCATTCCTTTTCCCCGTTCCTATCCCCGTCCCCCCGTCCTTCCTTCCCCCTTCCTCTCCCCTCAATCTCTTCTGCTACTTTCCATTCTCATCGCTCCTCCAAACCTTTCCTCACTTCCTCTCCCACCACACTCTCTCCCTCAACTCGTCTCCACCATACAAATGCACCCCTCCCACCCTCACCCCTCTCCTCTTCCCTGTAGCTATGCGGTGGGCAACCAGCTGGACGGGGGAATCCCAGGCTCCTACTCCAATCTGCGGAAGTTACGATACATGTGAGATGGGGGCAAATGCGAGTGAGATGGGGGCAAATGCGAGTGAGCTGATTTTTCTCTAGATGGTTGATTGATTTGATGCATGTGAGATGATGATGATACAAATGAAGCACCCACCCGGCATCCCCTTCCTGCATTTATGCATTTATGTCAACCTGTTGTTGCTGCTTCCCCAGACTTGTGACATCACCCGCTTGACTATATCTTGTGACATGATTTTGCTTATAGACTAACTGTGCCCCCTACCCTCAGTCTACTTCCCCCACCCTGCCTTCTTCCCCCCGCTCTCTCGCTCCGGCAATCGAAGCATCAACACGAAGATTACTGGGCTCCTGCCGCCGGACGAGTCTTTCTTTGAGGCTGCCGAAAAATAGATTAGTAGGGTGAACAATCCAGTGTCTCTGTATCTCGTGCCTGCTCCTCCCCCCTCCCCTCTCTCTGCAGCAATCTGAGCGTCAACACGAAGATTACTGGGCTCCTGCCGCCGGACGAGTCTTTCTTTGAGGCGTCCCAAAAATAGATTTCTGGGGTGAACAATCGAGTGTCTCTGTATCTCATGCCTGCTCCTCCCCCCTCCCCTCTCGCTGCAGCAATCTGAGCGTGAACACCAGTATTACTGGGCTCCTGCCGCCGGACGAGTCTTTCTTTGAGACTGCTGAAAAATAGATTAGTAGGGTGAACAATCGAGTGTCTCTGTATCTCGTGCCTGCTCCTCCCCCCTCCCCTTTCTCTCTGCAGCGATCTGAGTTTCAACACCAAGCTCACCGGGCTCCTTCCTGATTATCTCAGCGGCATTCAGTCGCTAGAGTCCATGTGAGTCCGGGATGCACATGCATGTATGGACATGCATGTATGCCTGATGCACATGCATGTATGTCCTGCATGTCACATGCATGTATGATGACATGCATGTATATCCTGCATGTCACATGCACGTATGATGACGTGCATGTATATCCTGCATGTCACATGCACGTATTGATGACATGCATGTATATCCTGCATGTCACATGCACGTATGATGACATGCATGTATATCCTGCATGTCACATGCACGTATGATGACATGCATGTATATCCTGCAAGTCACATGCACGTATGATGACATGCATGTATATCCTGCATGTCACATGCACGTATGATGACATGCATGTATATCCTGCATGTCACATGCACGTATGATGACATGGATGTGCTGCGCCAAGCTGCCCTCTCTCGCCAGTCACTATCGTTCCACTGTAACAACCTCTCTTCCATCCCTCTTGCCCCCGCTCCCCCTTCCCCTCCCCGCCCTTCTTCGAGAAGTGCAATTTCAAGGGCTCCCTCCCTGAGTGCTTCGCCAAGCTGCCCTCTCTCGCCAGTCACTATCGTTCCACTGCAACGACTTCTCTTCCATCCCTCTTGCCCGCTCCCCTTTCCCCTCCCCACTTTCCACACCTACCCACCCACCCACCCACCCCACCCACCCACCCACACCTCTTCAGTGCATTCCAGGAGTGCAATTTCAAGGGCCCCCTCCCTGAAGGCTACGCCAAGCCGCCTGCACTCGCCTGGCACTACCTGCACCACAACGACATCTCTTCCCACCCGCACCTCTTCAGTGCATTTGAGGAGTGCAATTTCAAGGCCCCCCTCCCAGAGGGCTATGACCACAACGACTTCTTTTCTTTTCCCCCCTGCTCCCCTTCCCCCCACATACACACACACACCCTCTTCTTAGTGCATTTGAGGAGTGCAATTTCAAGGGCCCCCTCCCTGAAGGCTACGCCAAGCTGCCTGCACTCGCCGAGCTCTATCTGGACCGCAACGACCTGGAAGGTTCCATCCCGGGGCTGTACGGCGACATGCCGAACCTGGCGACGCTCTACCTCAGCGGCAACCGCCTGACCGGGGAGATTCCGGGAAGCTTCTGCCGGCTGGGGAAGGCCAAGTCGATTGTGCTGGGGCACAACGGGCTCACGGGCAGCATTCCGGACTGCATCACCGGCAACCTGAAGGAGCTGCGGCTGCTGTAAGTCCCTCCTTGTGATGGCTGGCGCTGGCTTATCCCCAGTGCAGCCTTTATTGTCCCCTCCCATGAGTAGTGAGCTGAGGGGCAGCACCCTGGATTGCATTGCATCATTGGAGCTTCACAACCTGAAGGAGCTGCGGCTGCTGTGAGTTGCTCGCTGTGCTGGCCGGCTTATCCAGTGGGGCCTTCTCTTGTGCTGGCGTGGAATGAGCTGAGAGCTCTCTTCCTGGGTGTTGTATGTATGGTGTGCTCTTGTAATGTGTGCCCTTTCCTTTCAACCATTGTTTGCCATCATCCAGAATTTCTTGTCCTCTCTTAATTTCTGAATGGCCCCCCCACTCCCCCCCCCCTTGCAGGGACGTCTCCAACAACTACCTCACTGGCCCTGTGCCCGCAGTCCCTGCGGGCTCCCCTCTGCAGTTCGAGTAAGAGCCTCTGTTTGTGGCTCTCCCCTCACTGCCAGTGTAATCCGGGGTTTAACGTGCAGGGGTTGAGGTTTAGGGCTTGAAGGCAAGGTACCCAGGGCTCTTGGCCTTCCCCCCTTCCTCTCTGCAGCTCAACTCATCCCTCCTTTCCTTTTGTATTTAGTTATGTATGCCACCTGAACCTCCTCCTCTATCCTATGCTGACCGCCATCCATTTCTTTTGAGTGGACTCAGAAGCCTCCTTCTCTCTGCAGCTCAACTCATCCCTCCTTTCCTTCTGTGTTTAGTTATGTATGCCACCTGAACCTCCTCCTCTATCCTATGCTGACCGCCATCTTCTCAGCTTCTCGAGCAACTGCCTCGCCTGTGCCCAGCACGCAGCCCCCCGACGAAGCCACTCCCAGGCAGCCAGACAGCCAGTGATTTCTCTCTCTCTCTCTCTCCCCTTCCACCACCCTCTCCCGTTCCACCACCCTCCCCACCCTCCTTCAGCTTCTCAAGCAACTGTTTGGACTCAACACAGGGCAACCAGCTGAGTCCCTGCCCCTCCTCGCCTGTTCCCAGCACGCAGCCCCCCGACGAAGCCACTCCCAGGCAGCCAGGGGCTGACGGATCTTCCCCTGCTGAGACCACCGTTGACCCCTCCTCCTTCCCGCCCTCGCCCGACAGTAAGTGCTTCTTGACGATTAGAAACCTTAACCTTCATGCATGCACTATACAAAAGCTGGGATTCTGGGTTCGACAGCCTCTGCACTAAGCAGCTCACATGCAGCCAGGCAGCCAGGGGCTGAGGGGCCTTCCCCTGCTGAGACCACCGTTGACTCCTCTTCCTTCCTGCCCTCCCCTGACAGTAAGTGCTTCTTGGGGATCTTAGGCTTAGGTGCACTAGAAAAAGGCTGGGCTTAGGGTTAAGGGTTTCGGGTTTAGGGTTTAGGGCTAGTCAGCCTAAGAAAGCAGCAGCCCCCCCAGGAAGCCAGGCTTCAGCCCTTCCTGCCTCTCACCCCTGCAACAGCTCTTGCCCTCTCTCCCTTACTCCCCGCTTACTTTCCTTCCCCCCTCCTCCCGCCCTGGCTTCCTCTCGTCCCTCCTCCCAGCCACTGCGCTGATGCAGATGCTAGCAGGCCTGAGGGCAGCAGCAGGCACGGACGTGCTTCCTTCCCTCGTGGACAGCTTCCTCTGACCCTGCGTTTGCTGTCTGCATGTTTTATGACTCCCCTTTTGCCCCTTCCGCCTCCCAGCCTCTGCCCTGATTCAGATGCTGGCAGGGCTGAGGGCAGCAGCAGGCACGGACGTGCTTCCCTCGTGGACGGCAGACTCTGACCCTTGTGACGGCTCCTGGGCTACTTCCATCAAATGCGACAACCTCACTCGCCAAGTCGTGCACCTGTGAGTCATTGTATGCTGGATTTAAAGATCTATAAGTATAGATCGTGTGCTGTATGTATGTATATGTATATTAGGCCCCTGAATTACTTTTATCAAGTGTGACTACTGCACTCGCCAAATCGTGCACCTGTGAGTGAACTTTAATTTTTTATACATTATCCTGCTGCCTGTTCCCTTCTCCGATTCCATCTCTCCTCTCCCCTCCTCTCCCCCCCCCCTCCCCCTCGTTTAACGTCCCGTCCACACCTTCCTTTCCTGCCATCAACCTCCTTCTCGTTTTGAGGCGCCTCAAAACATTCCTTTCCCGCCATCATCGTCCTTCTCCTCACCCCTTAATGCCTATCCTTCTCTCCTTTCCTCCTTCCAACGCTCTCTCCCTTCCATTGCCGACCCTTCCACCTCTTCCCAACCTTTCCCCGTCCAACCCCTTCCCCTCCCCTTCCCCACCACCTCTCTCCCTTCCAGTGACCTGCGTCTGTGGTTAAGTAGTTAGTTTGCGAATTCTCAAACCCAACCACCTCTCACCCTTTCAGTGATATGCGTCGTGTAAACCTTCTGGGGGTGAGAGACCTTGTATTTTCCCGGTCCAAACTCCCTCCGGCTCCCCCACCCCTCTCTCCCTTGCAGTGACCTGCATCGTGTAGAGTGTAGACCTTGTGGGAGAGGTAGACCTAGTATTCTTTTGTCTCCCGCAGCTCAACGCTCTCGCAGCTCGCTCGCATACCCGTGCTTTCGTATTATTTCGTCGTCCCTACCTTTCCCAGTCCAAACTCCCTCCACACCCGCCACATCCCCTTCCCCTCCTCCCCTCCCCACCCCCCCATCCCCCACCCCACTCTCCCCTCCAGTGACCTGCGTCTTGCAGACCCCATGGGAGACGTGCCCTGCCTCGGCCTCTCGCAGCTCACTGCCCTCGCTCACATACCTGTGCCAAAACCTTCCGCCTCCTCCCAACCTTTCCCCGTCCACCCTTCCCCCGCCGGCCCCCCACCCCCTCCTCTCCCCCCTCTTCCTCGGCCCCCCTCACCCTACCTTTCCCTGTCCAAACTCCCTCCGCCCCCACCACATCCCCCTTCCCCCCACCCCCTCCTCCTCCCCCCTCTTCCTCGGCCCCCCTCACCCTTCTCTCCCCTCCAGTGACCTGCGCCGTGCCAACCTTGTCGGAGACGTCCCCTGCTTCGGCCTCTCGCGCCTCAACGCCCTCACATACCTGTAAGCAACTCCCCCACCCACTAGTCCCACCCCTCGTACTTTTTCAAACTTACCTGCGCTCCCTTTAGAGTCGACTCAAAAGCGTCCCCTGCTTCGGCCTTTCGCAGCTCAAACCCCTCACGTACCTGTGATCTCAACCCCCTCACGTACCTGTGATCTCAACCCCCTCACGTACCTGTGATCTCAACCCCCGACCGGTGACCGCTGGTCCCACCGCTGCTCCTAAGTGTAGTTAAGAGACGTCTAAAAACTACAATTCTATCCCACCACTGCCCCTACTTGATACAAGCGTAGTTTTGGGACGTGTCAGAACTGCACTTCTATCACACCGCTAGTCCCACCGCTGCTCTTACTCGATCCTGCCAACGCGGCTGTCTATTCTATATTCTATCCGCTCTGAACATCTCTGTTTCTCCCTCCCCTCATTCGCCTGCCTCTGCCCCTTTCTGCCCACATCCCACTGCCCCTCTTACTCTCCCTCTTCCCTCTCTGCTCCTGCTTCCGTCTCTTCCATACCCGACGACGGCCTCCGTTGTAACAACTTCGCCTCCCTCCTCCCCCCCCTCTCCTCCCTATCGCCCGCACCCCGTTCTCTCTGCCTCTACCTCGTAGTAACCATGATTCCAACAACTTCGCTCCAGTCCTTTGTCTCTGAGTGTGCCCTTTCTCCTCTCCCCACCTCTCCCCCTCCCCCTCCCCTCCCTCCTTCTTTCTCTCTCCCTGCCCCCACCCAGTGACCTCGGTTCCAACAACTTGACTTGCTTCCTTTCCATTTGACTGTGCCCCTTCGTCTTTCCCCCTCTCCCTCCCTACCTTCCCCTTCCCCTCTCCCTGCCCCCATCCACCCACCCAGTGACCTCGGATCCAACAACTTCACCTTCTTCCGCCAGATGATTGCTTTTGAGTCAACTCAAAAGCAGCCCCTTCCCCCCTCTCCTCCCCCCCCCCCCTCACCCCCCCCCCCCCCCCCCTCACCCCCCCCCCCCCCCCCCCCCCTTTTTTCCTGCTCCAACCCACCCACCAGTGACCTCGGATCCAACAACTTCACTTTCTTCCGCCAGCAAGAGTTCTGCGAGCAGATGACCAACTTGCAGCATGTGTAAGCCATTGCACGTGCTACGCACAGCATGTGTAAGCCATTGCACGTGCCACGTACAGCTAGACATGGTTATATCGCATCGCATCGCAACACATCGCATCGCATCGCATCGCAAATATCGCAAAAATGCGATCGCGATATTTTTTTTCCCCAAGAAAATATCGCGCGATGCGATGCGATGTATATTGCGCGATATTTTTAGATGCGTTTTTATCGCGGGTTTTCCCCTGCAATATATTGCGATATGCAAGATGTTTAGGGCGTGGTACATTTTGTTCGGTTCAAGTGACTCGTTCGGGTAACTGGTTGTCGCCAGCATCGCGAAAAAACTTGCCAACAACCTTTCGCGAATAGGTGACAGATTCGGAAAAGTCAAAACCTGCACTCACGAATGACCAACGTTCATAAAAGGAAGCAGCCAAACGCTATTTGCGGTGCGGACGAAATAGCATTTCGTAATAGACGAAAGCGAAATTTCGCGCAGGTTATGATGTGAGGGGGTTTCGCGCTGCATGCTGTTGTGACATTTTGTTTTCGTCGACACCCAAATTGGTGTCGCGAGGTTGTGTCGCAGCATAACATTTGTCCATTATACAAACGCATCGATTGTGAACTTTCAACAAATTTGCTAATCGCATTAAAAGCTCGAAATATTTCAAAATCAGAAAAAAAAAAGGTACCACGCCCTTATATGGCATGCGATATCTGTGAGATACTGTGCGATATCTATGCGATATCCGTGCAATATTTTTTATCGCATGCTCCTTTTAGGGCGTGAAAACAGCATATAAACCATGCTTTTAAATGCGATGCGATATTAAATCGCATAGCACGATATTTCGCTTTTTATTGCAATATTAAAATATATCGCACCGGAAATGTGATATGCAGTACTTGTTTTTGAAATATTATGTTGCAACGATGCGATATAATATCGCGTGATGTAAATCGCGACAACAGCAAGTGCGATGTGATATTATATCGCATCGCGCTTTAACCATGTCTACACACAGCATGTGTAATCCATCGCACGTGCTACCCACAGCTAGACATGGTCAAAATGCGATGCGATGCGATGCGATATGTTAAAAAAAATACAGAAATCGCATATCGCGTTTTAGGGTGCGATATTTAAAGATATTGCAAAAAAAAGGCGTGCATGTGTAAGCCATTGCATGTGCTGCACACAGCATGCATAAGCCATTGCACGTGCTACCCGCAGAATGTGTAAGCCATTGCACGTGCTACAGACAGCATGTGTAAGCCATTGCTCGTGCTACGCACAGCATGTGTAAGCCATGGCGCATCATAGCATGGCAAGGAAAACCATACGTGCTAACCAAAGCATGTGTGTGCGAAGCGAACTATGATCGATGTCTATCTCCACGCCTCTCTTTCCTCTCTCTCGCCCCAACCTGTGCTCCCATTGCTGCTCCCCTCATGTCATTGGCTGAGAATCAGCTCCAGTATTGGCCCGACCCGACACTGTCGCCTACTTGACTAAGCTCCTCCCTCCCTTGCTCCCCCCCCCCCACCTCCCCCCCACCCCCCTCCCTCTCCCTCCCTCTCTCCATCCTACCCCGGTCAGCTCGTTGGCAAAGAATCAGCTCCAGTAGTGGAAGTGACCTGCCTGGCCTGTCACTGCCGCCTACTGGCCTTAGCCACTCCCTCCCTTGCTGCTCTCCCCTCCTCCACTTCCCCCCATGCTGTCCCCCTCCTCTCCCCCCGCCCCCCGCCCTCCCACCCAATGCTGCTCCCCCCTCAGCTCGTTTGCAGAGAATCAGCTCCAGTATTGGCCTCGGACTGTTGCCTACTGGCCTCAGCTCACGTTCCTGTAAGCTCACATTCCTGTAAGCTCACATCTGAATTTATCACATTTGCAGGAAGGCACACTTTTATGAGGTGTGCTCGGCTTGTGTTTAGGGAGGCGTGGCGCTTTCATGATTCTGACACTGACACATGGAGCAGGTCTCAACCACCCTCTCTTTCGAGTCGATCCAAAAAGATCCCTCCCTATCTCCCCCATACTGCCGCATGCCCTATCATCTGCAGGAGTCTGGCGGCGAATCTGCTGTCTGGCCCTATTCCCGAGGACATTGGGGATCAGATCTCAACCACCCTCATGCACCTGTGAGTGCTCCCCTGCTCGCACATGCCATCCTGTGAGTGTTGCTCGCTCTCTCCCACCTGTGACTGTTCCCCTCTCTCGCACCTGAGAGTGTTCATCACTCTTCCATCTGTGAGTGGACTCAGGGGTTCGCAATTGAGACGAGCTATTTGTGCTCCACTTGAGCCCGCCGAGCTCCCAACCCCTTCCCCCCCCCACCACTCTTCCCTCTGAAAGCCCCATGTCTTTCTTTCCCGTCCGTGTCATCTGCTCTGCTCCCCCCATCACTCCTGATCCCCCCCTCTCAGCAGCCTCATGGGCAACTATTTCAATAGCACTGCCCTCAGTTTCCATCCTTCCAGACTCGCTGATCCCCCCCTCCTCCTCTGCCTTCTCTGCCTCCGTCCCTCCCTGTGTCCCTCCTCCGCCCCCCTCTCCTCTAATTTTGAGTCGACTCAAAAGCTGATCCCCTCCTCCTCCTCTGCCTTCTCTGCCTCCGTCCCTGTCTCCCTCCTCATTGATTTTGCAGGGTGTTTTTGAGAGTTCTCAAAACCACCCTTTCAGACTCGCTGATCCCCTCCTCCTCCTCCTCCTCCTCCTCCTCCTCCTCCTCCTCCTCCTCCTCCTCCTCCTCCTCCTCCTCCTCCTCCTCCTCCTCCTCCTCCTCCTCCTCCTCCTCCTCCTCCTCCTCCTCCTCCTCCTCTGCCTTCTCTGCCTCCTTCCCTGTGTCCCTCCTCCGGCCCCCTCTCCTCTTCGACCTGCCCTGCAGGGACCTCATGGGCAACTATTTTAACGGCACTGTGCCCAGCTCGCTGTCAAGCTTTCAGAAGCTCAGGCACATGTGTGTATGGCTGACATGGGGGAGGGGAGGGGAAGGGGAGGGGAAAGGGGGAAGGGAGGGAGGCAGTATGGCCGCACGCGCAGGTTGGGATTCAGGCTGTGATGTTTTTTTTTTTTTTTTTTTTTTTTTTCCATAATGGAAGATTGAAGCACTTGGTTGGAAGACCATTAGCCACACCACACTCAGTGCAGCTTGGCTGTCCTGTCCCGTGGTGGATCTTGAGAATTCTAAAGAATCACCTACTACAACAAGGGAGGCAATTGAAGAGGCTGGCTAGAATACCACTTGGCACTAGTCACACCCCATCCCTCAGTGCAGCTTGGTTGTCCTGTGGATCTTATTTCCCCCCCGCTCTCCTCCCCCCTCCCCAACTATTTTCGACCTTGCAGTATCCTCCTGCAATTGTTTCCTGAATGAGCCATACTCTGCTTCTCTTGAGGCATCTTTTTCCCTTTTCTTTCCTCTCTCTCTCTCCTCCGGACCCCCTCTCCCTCCCTCACCCTCTCTCTCTCTCTCCCCCTCTCGCTCTCCCTCACAGCGATCTGAGTTTCAACGCCAACCTGACCGGGCCTGTTCCAACCGTGCTGGCCAGCATCCAGACCCTCCGAACCATGTGAGTCAATGCATGCTGGTGCACCTGGCAAGTAGGCATGAGCAAAACCGGGTAATTACCCGACCCGACCCGGTTTTGCCATACCCGACCTCGGGTCGGGTAATTTCGGGTCGGGTCCGGGTCGGGTAATATGCCCAGGACCCTTACCCGGACCCGGTTTTTTTAGGCGGGTATTATAATACCCGCCTGGCGGGTCCGGGTATACCCGACCCGGACCCCCTGAAAAGCGGGTAATTTTACCCGCCACCTACTAGTGGACATCCTAAAGTTGGGCTAGGCTAGGTAGGGCTCCACTCGTCCCCCCTCACCTCCAAAACTGTTTTGCCGCAAAACCTAAAACACAGCGCGACTTACGCCCATGTCTAGGTGGAATACCCGACCTCGGGTAATTTTTTACCCGACCGGGTCGGGTACCCGTTACCCGACACGTCGGGTAGCATTCCGGGTAGCGGGTATTGATACCCGGCCCGGGTAACCCGGACCCGACCCGGCGGGTAATTTTCAGGATTTCCGATACCCGACCCGCCCTAAAAGCGGGTCCGGGTACCGGGTACCCGACCCGGGCGGGTAGTTTGCTCAACCCTACTGGCAAGTATCCCAACCTGACCGGCCCTTTTTGAGTCGACGCCAACCTGACCGGCCCTTTTTGAGTCGACGCCAACCTGACCGGCCCTTTTTGAGTCGACGCCAACCTGACCGGCCCTTTTTGAGTCGACGCCACCAACCTGACTGGCCCTTTTTGAGTCGACGCCACCAACCTGACCGGCCCTTTTTGAGTCGACGCCACCAACCTGACCGGCCCTTTTTGAGTCGACGCCACCAACCTGACCGGCCCTGTTCAAAGTGTGCTCGCTATTATCCTATCCAGTCCCTCTGAACCAAACCATGTGACTTCCTCCGAGCCATATGAGTTTCTCCGAACCGTGTGAGTCCGAACCATGTGAGTTCCGAGCCATGTGAGTTCCGAGCCATGTGAGTAGACATGATCAAAACGCGATTGCGATTTAAATCGCATCGCATGCAGGTGCGATGTTTAAAAAAGCGATGCGATTTTAAATCGCATCGCGCGATTTATTTTTCCAAAAAAATAATAATCGCACATCGCATTTTACCCGCGATGTATTAATAAATCGCATGCGATATTTAATTAAATCGCATCGCGTTTTAAAACAGAATTAAAAAACACCCCAAAAAAACAGAAAAAAAACCATGGCTGCGGGGAAATTGACTCACGGGCAGTCGTAAGCTAGAGTGCAAATAACCAGTGTGGTTTCGTAGTGGGTTTCAGTGTGGGTTTCAGTGCAATATCGCGCGCGATTTTTTAAAAATCGCATATCGCATTTAAATCGCGTTTTTTAAGCGCGATTAAAATGCGATTAAAATTAAATCGCGCGATATTAATTCATCGCATCGCGCGATGATTTAAAAAAAAAAAAAAAACATCGCCATCGCAAAAACGCGATTAAATGCGATGCGATGCGATTTTTTTTGCCCATGTCTACATGTGAGTTCCGAGCCATGTGAGTTCCGAGCCATGTGAGTTCCGAGCCATGTGGGTTCCGAGCCCTGTGAGTTCCGCGCCTGCTGCTCCTCACAAGCCTGTACCTCCTTCCAGCGGGCCTCCCCCCACTCCCCCCTCCTCCCCCCTCCTCCCCCCTCCTCTCCCCTCCTCTCCCCTCTCTTTCCCTTCCCCCATAAACACAGCGACTTGGAGGCGTGCAGCTTCACGGGCGTGCTGCCTGAGAGCTAATCGCACCTGCCGTTCGTGGTCAGCCTGTACCTGGCATTCGCACCCCCCATGAACCACCACCCCAACCCGCCCTCCCCCTCACCAAACAAACAGCGACTTGGAGGCGTGCAGCTTCACGGGCGTGCTGCCTGAGAGCTAATCGCACCTGCCGTTCGTGGTCAGCCTGTACCTGGCATTCGCACCTCCCATGAACCACCACCCCAACCCGCCCTCCCCCTCACCAAACAAACAGCGACTTGGAGGCGTGCAGCTTCACGGGCGTGATTCCAGAGAGCTACTCACGCCTGCCGCTCCTGGCTAGCTAGCCCCTAAACCCCCTACTTCCCCTACTACCACTCTCCCCATTCCCCTCACAACCCTCCCCACACAACAGCGACTTGGAGGCGTGCAGCTTCACAGGCGTGCTGCCGGAGAGCTACTCGCGCCTACCCTTCCTGGCCAGCCTGTATCTCGACAAGAACGGGATTGACGGCGCCATCCCCAAGACCTTCGGCTTCATCCCCAACCTCGTCAACCTGTACCTCAGCAACAACCAGCTGTCGGGCCACATTCCCGAGAGCCTGTGCCGGCTGCAGAAGGCTGAGGCGATCGTGCTAGAGAGGAACTCCATCGGGGGGACGATTCCCGAGTGCCTCTTGTCTATGACGAACCTTCTGATCCTGTGAGTGCTTGAGATTAGCAGCAGCAGCTGAAGCCAGAGAAACTCAGAGTATGAAAAACTTCCATGATCTTGCTAGAGAGGAACTCCATAGGGGGGACGATTCCCGAGTGCCTGCTTTCTACGGAAAGCCTCCTCATCCTGTGAGTGATGCGGCTACCTTGTACCATGGTCATTCATGGCTGTCAGTCACCATGCTGCTGCTGACTGGCACCATGCTGCTGCTGACTGTGTAGGTGCCTGATGAATCACTGCTCTCCCTCTCGCCCTGGTGATCTTTCATTATTGGAAACAAAACAATATCATCAACTCTCTTATCCATTCCGCCCTCTCGTCCCCTCCCCCCATCCCCCCCTTTCTCTCCTGGGCAGTGATGTGACTGGGAACTACCTCAAGGGCCCTGTGCCTAAGCACGAAACATCCTCTTTTTTTGGCTCTTCCCCCCCCCCCCCTTCCTCTCCCCGCCGGCCCCCCTCAGTGACGTGACTGGCAACTACCTCAAGGGCCCTGTGCCGAAGCAAGAAGCAGGCTCCATTCTTCAATTCCTGTAAGTCACTCTTGCTCCCCAACCCTTCCGCTTTGTGTAAGTCCCCCCCCCCTCCCTCCTCCCTCCTCTCTCCCTGCCGTTCCTCCTCTGTCTCCATCTAAAACTGCCTCCTCGTTCTCTACCCGTACCTAATCTTTCCCCCTTCCTTCTCCTCCGCCTCCCCCCTCGCCCTTCCCCATCCGCGCTGGAAAATCGCGTGCAAACAGCTACTCTGGAAACTGCCTGGACGGTCAGGATCGAGGCAACGACCCGTGCCCGATCGAGATGGCAGCAAACCCCAATGGCGGGCTGCCTTCAATAGTCCTCCCTTACCCCCCACCCCCCTCCCCCCCCCCTCCCCCTCTCCCTTCCTGCCCCTACCAGCTACTCTGGCAATTGCTTGGACGGCCAGGATCGAGGCAACGACCCGTGCCCGATCGAGACGGCGGCGAACCCCAATGGCAGGCTGCCACCTGGCAGCCACGAGAACCAGCCGCTGTGGGAGGGCAATGCGCAGACGCCTGAGGAGAACGCCTGGCCAGGCACCAATTGGGGAGAGGCACAGGCCGCTGCTGCTGCCGTTCCCGCGCCCTCAGCCCCAGGTGCGTGTGTGATGCTTGATTAGCTCCCAGCAGCCAGAACCACAGGCACAATGGGCTGAGCACGGTAATTAGCACAAGCCCACCAGCTTGCCAGCAGCCACAGCGGGCTGCCACCTGGCAGCCACGAGAACCAACTACTATGGGAGGGCAATGCGCAGACGCCTGAGGAGAACGCCTGGCCGGGTACCAACTGGGGAGAGGCACAGGCTGCTTCTGCTGCTGTTCCCGCACCCTCAGCCCCAGGTGGGTTCACATGTGGGAATGGGCTGACTGGTTGCACCGAGGCACTCTGACGCCTGAGGAGAACGCCTGGCCGGGCACCAACTGGGGAGAGGCACAGGCCGCTGCTGCTGCTCTTCCCGTGCCCCCAGCCCCAGGTGGGTTGACCAGCTCAGCCCTTGAGTGTGTAAAAAGGGTTGGTAGCCAGCCAGAGGCACCTATGAGGCATACAGACGCCTGCGGAATGCCTGAGGAGAAGGAATGCCTGGCCGGGTACCACGTGGGGGGAGACACAAGCCGCTGCTGCTGCTGCTGTTCCCGCACCCGCAGGACCACCAGGTGGGTTCATATGTGTGCTGACTGTTTGCACTCACTCAGGCTCTCCGACCGACACATAGCCTCTCTGCTCTCCACACTCGTCCCACCTGCAATTGACTGGAAGCCCATTATTAGCTACGTGCTGATCGCCGTGCTGTCAGTGGCGTTCCTCTACCTCCTCTTCTCCGCATTCGCCATGGTCGCCAAGCAAGCAGCCCCCTCACACTCCCTTCTCCATGCCCCGTCGCTGCTCTCCGCGCCCCTCCCACCTGCAGTTGACTGGAAGCCCATTCTGAGCTACGTGCTCATCGCAATACTCCCTGTGGCGCTTGTCTATCTCCTCTTCCCCGTGTTCTCTCTTTCCTACCTACCCACACCCTCTCTCGAACGGTCCGTCGTTGATGGGCAACCCTGGGTACAAGCTGGGCATGCTAGGTTGGTACAGACAGGCACACCCTCTCTCTCCCCCTCTCCCAAACCCTCTTTGTCCCTCTCGCACGTGCAGTCGACTGGAAGCCCATTCTGAGCTTCGTGCTCATCGCCCTGCCCTCAGAGAGGAGTCTTTTTTTTAGGCGCCTCAAAAATAGAGTCCTCACGCATGGACGCCCATTCTGAGCTACATCCTACATGCTCCTCAGTGGAGCTCGTCCACCTCCTCTTCTCCACATTCTCCCTTGCCTTACCACACCCTCTCCTCCCTCTGCCAAACTCCCTAAACTCGCAGTTGACTGGAAGCCCATTCTGAGCTACGTGCTGATCGCCCTGCTCTCAGTGGCCTTCATCTATCTCCTCTTCTCGGGAATCGCTATGGTCGCCAAGCGCCGCCGCTACTCTCCTGTCGACTTCTCCGCCCCGCGCGTCGACCAACGTAAGTCGCCTTGCTCTCTTGATGACCACTGTACGTGCTGTGGTTATCGTGTTTATTGCCTCCTCCTACTGCCTTGCTCTCTTGATGACCACTGTACGTGCTGTGGTTATTGTGTTATTGCCTCCTCCTACTGCCTTGCTCTCTTGATGACCACTGTACGTGCTGTGGTTATCGTGTTTATTGCCTCCTCCTACTGCCTTGCTCTGTTGACCAACACGTTATGGCTGCCAAGCGCCGCCGCTACACTCCTGTCGACTTCTCTGCCCTTGACCAGCGCACTTACATTGCCTCGCTCTTTTGACTTGCTCTGTTGCCTTGCTCTGGTAACTCACTAGTTTTCGTTGACTTTTCCCAACCAAGTCCGAGCCCTCCCTTCGTTTGATTGCGATTTTTGCAACCTTCTCTCGGTTTTCCAATCTTGTTCCCTTCCCCAGTCTCAGTGACAGAGTACGGCCTCTCCAAGGTAAAGCGTGCCACCAAGAACTTCACGACCATGTTTGGCAAGGGCACCTTCCCTCCCATCCCGTCAACTTCCTCATCCCACCTTCTTCCCTGCTCCCTCTCCCCCCCACCGCCCCCAGTCCCAGTGACGGAGTATGGCCTCTCCAAGATCAAGCGCGCCACCAAGAACTTCACCACGGTGTTTGGCAAGGGCAGCTTTGGCACCGTGTATCTGGCTGACGACTTCCTTCCGGACCAGATTGAAACTCGTGCCATCATCAAGCGTGCCCACGAGCCCGAGAGTGAGTGCAGGGGTGGAGTGGGGAGCATGCATGTGCTAGCAAGGAAAGGGGAGGGGGGGATTTCACGACGATGTTTGGCATGGGCGGCACTGTCTATCTGGCAGTTGACTTCCTGCCGGACCAGATTGAGCCACGGGTAATTATCAAACGCGCCCATGAGCTCAAGAGTAAGTGCAGTGCAGGGGTGGAGTGGAGTGGTATTTTGAGTCGACTCAAAATACAAGTGGAGTGGAGTGGGGTGGAGTGGAGTGGAGTGGGGTGGGGAGACATCGGAAAAGAGTATTTGGCGAGGGCAGCCTTGGCGACGACTTTTTGCCCGACCACATCAAGGCACACGGGTGATGATTAAACGCGCCCACGAGCCCGAGAGTGAGTGGTAGAAAGGGGAGAGGGGTTGTGTGCCCATGGTGGTTTGGCAAACGCACATGACAGAGGCGCAGCAGCTCTGTCATGTGCAGCTCAGTCATGACAGAGGCGCAGTTCAGGGAGAAGGTGCAACTGCTGGCCAACGCACGCCACCGCTACCTTGTGTCCCTCCGGAACTGTATTTTGAGTCGACTCAAAATCTACCTTGTGTCCCTCCGGAACTGTATTTTGAGTCGACTCAAAATCTACCTTGTGTGACGTGTCCCTCCGGAACTGTTGTAATGAGCGGGGTCGATCGCAGCAAGCCAAACTGAGAACTCTCCAAACTCTCCTGCAGGTAGCGCACCGCACACTGCCGCTACCTGGTGTCCCTCCGGGGGTATTCCTTGTTCATTCCTCAACCTCCCTCCTCCTCCTCCCCCCCCCTTCCTCCCCCCCCCTTCCTCCCCCCCTCCCCATAACAGAAATGACTGAGGCGCAGTTCAGGGAGAAGGTGCAACTCCTTGCCAAGGCGCGCCACCGCTACCTGGTCTCGCTGAGGGGGTACTGCATCGGCAAGGCGGAGCGCATCCTTGTGTTCGAGTACCTGCCGCACGGGTCTCTCTTCGACCGGCTGCACCGTAAGTGATTTGTTGAACGCAGGCTGCACCGTGAGTGCTGGTATGAGGGCAGCTGATGCCGTTGGTGGCAGTGTGAGGGGGTACGGCATCAGCAAGGCAGAGCGCATCCTGGTGTTCGAGTACCTGCCGCATGGGTCTCTCTTCGACAGGCTGCACCATGAGTGCTTTGATTATGATAGCGCATGCTGCATGGCTCGGTCTTCGGCAGACTTCATCGGAAGTGCTGCTTCAGCTCAACAAGCTTTACCTAAGCTCAACCTGGCATCTGTCTTGGCATGCCTCCACCACCCACCTCACCTGTGACCCTCTGCCTGTTTCTTTTCTGTGCCCTTTTTCTTCCTCTCGTTCTTTCCATCCTTCCACCAGGCTTGGACGTGGACCCCCTCCCCTGGGACGCGCGAGAGCACGCGGCAGTCAACCTGGCATCCAAGCCTCTCGCACTCTTAACTCCTCTCCTTCCATTTCTCTCCTACTGACCGTCCCTCCCACCAGGCTCTGACGTTGGCTCTCTCTACTGGGACGCTCAACTCAAGTGCTCGCGGCGGTTGACTTGGCCTCTGGGGCAGCCCATACAAACTCTCTTTCTCTCTCCTCTCTCCTTCCAAATCGCCCACCATCCTTCCCGTCCACCAGGCTCTGACGTGGACCCCCTCCCCTGGGATGCCCGGGTGCACGTGGCCGTCAACCTGGCATCCGCCTTGGCGTTTCTCCACCACGGCTGCGACCCTCCCCTTGTGCACCGCGCTGTCACTTCGTCCAACATCCTGCTCTCCGCTGATATGAGCGCCAAGGTGAGAGATGGCTTTTGAGTCGACTCAAAAGGCTGGCTTATGAGCGCCAGAGAGCCCTACCCTAGGATGGGCCACGAAAAAAGGGCCTCGAAATGTCTCCCTCATGTCAGCAACCCTCCTCTTACGCACTGTGCCGTCACTTCATCCAACATCCTGCTCTCCGCTGACATGAGCGCCCAGGTAAGAGTCCTAAGAAGGCTCCTTCCCTTCTCATCTTTCACCCCCCTTGCTCACGGGCCCACTTCCCACGCGGCATTCGACGAGCCGCCCCGCTGCCGCCAGCGCGGTACCGCTGGCCACAACTAAGGGTCCAACATCCCCTCACATTCCCCCCAACCCCACTCCCCCCTCCCCCTCCCCTTCCTTCCAGCTCTCTGACTTTGGCCTTGCTCGCGGGTCCACTTCCCACGCAGCATTCGACGAGCCGCCCCGCCGCCGCCCCAACCGCCGCCAGCGCGGCGCCGCCGGGCGCGACGACGCCTCTTCCAACTCCAGCCTCACTGGCGGCATCGGCAGCAGCAGCAGCAGCACCGACGGCAACAGCGAAACCGAGTCCGAACTCCTGCAGCCGGTGGTCACCCGCACCGACGCGCGGAAGCTCGACATCTACGGGTTCGGAGTCGTCCTCTTGGAGCTGATCACCGGTCAGAAGGCGATGAAAGACGTGCATATCACCAGCCTGGCAGCCCCTTTCCTGGAAGATACCCAGATGATGCCGCTCATGGTGGATTCGGCTCTCGGGGGGTTTTTTAACCAGTCGGAGCTGATCGAGCTGGCGACGATCGCCAGGGACTGTGTGAAGGAGGATCCGAACAGCCGCCCGTCGATGCTCGAGGTGGTGAGGACTATGGAGGGGAGCATCGAGCTGGCTGTGGACCTGTTTGACCCACTCGACGGGGCGGGTGCCGCTGGGAGCGGGAAGGCCGGGACGCCCAAGGCTGGAGGGGCCGGGTACGCGGCGCTGAGCGGGGGGTCAGGGATTGCTGGGGATGCCATGGGGAGCGGGGGGGGTGGGATGGGGAGTGGGAGTGGGAAGGAGAAGTATGGGAGGTCTGGTAGTGGGGGAGGGGCGTGGGCGCCGCTAGAGCTGTTTACAGGGTCGTTTGGGCGGAGGTCGGTTGGTGAGAGGGAGGGGGGAGGTGGAGGGGGAGGGGCCGGAGGGTCGGGGACTGGCCGGGCCGGTGGGGAGAAGGGGGATATTGAGGCGGGGTCGTCGCTGCTGTATATCACACCCAAGGACCACTAGAGAGCAAAGGGCAGCATCAGAGCAAAAGGGCAGCGCCAGGGTATGTGGGAGGTGATGAGGCTACAGTGGAGTCATTTTTTAGAATTCTCAAAAATGACTCCACTGTAGTCAGGGTATGTGGGACGTGATGAGGTGGCTCAAAACAGGCATTCAGGCAGGTTATTTGCCTCTCTTTCCCCCGGGGGGGAAAGGGAGGGGAGGGGGGGGGGGGGGGGGGCAGCATTAGGGCATGGGAAGAGGGGAAGGGGGGGGAGGAAGCGGCGAAGCTGGCATTCTGGTGGTCAGTGGCCCTGGTTATGGTAGCCCTCCTATATAACGCTTCATTTTATCACACCCAAGGAAAGGCAGTGTTGCCGTTAGAGCTTGGCCCGAGCGCTTGCGGAAAGAACAGGGGGAGGCAGGTTTATTTATCACTTGGCGAAACAGTTGAGCTGGGTTCAAAGAGGAGGTAGCGGGGGAAGGGATGGCCTGGGAGGAGGAGGGGGAGGTTTGTTTATCAATTGGCAAAACAGTTGAGCTTGGCTCAGAGAGGTACTGGTAGGTAAGGGGGGTGGAGGGGGGGGGAGGTTATCTTGGGTAGAGTGGTCAAGATGTGGAGTGGAGTGTGATGTGATTTGCACACAGGGTCCTTCATGGTGCTGGTTCAGCCAGATAGTGCTGCTGCTGTATTGGAATGAGGGCCCAAACCCAACCCCAAGATTTGCATTGGGGACTGCCTGGAACTGGAGAAGATTCTTCTCACCAATCAGATGCACCCGGTGCGGGGCTGACATATGCTGGACTTGGTGTCTTCATTTGGATTTGCTGCCATAGTGTATCACACGGAGTTAAGCCAGGATATATTCCGGTATGTGAGACACTTACATGTTCTTGGACATCACTTGGAGCTACTTGTAGCTACAGTGATTAGATTGAAAATATCCTCTGAGCATCACGTCTCTTCACCTCTCCCATCACAACCTAGAAATCCACATGAATACACTAAAAGGGGCTCAAACAGAGCCACTTTCCCCACACCGTGTACACTGTCAGTCTTCCATATCATATGGCCTCGTAGTACTCTATAGCGAGTGACCCAATATCGAGGATTATGGATGGCAGGAAGAAAAAGAAGCCAATATGCGACATGGCAGTGGCCGCCTTGGACCTCCCGCAAAAGAAATTCCAGGGGGTATTTCCCTCGCAAATTGTTTGCTGATAGGGGAAACCACCCTGGTCATTGAAGGTTGTGACCCCTGCTGCTGCTGCACCTGCAGAAAGCAGCAGAGCAGCAGCGATCTGCAAAATGCAGAAAGAAGGACAAGGTGACTTTTGAGTCGACTCAAAAGAAGGACAAGGGATAAATGGGGCATATATAGCAGCAATCTGAAATGCGATCTGGTCCTTGAAGGGTGTCATCCCTGCTGCTGCTGCAGCTCCAGAAAGCAACAGAGCAGCTGCAATCTGGATAGAGCAAGAGAAAGGGAAAGTAGGGGAAGGTGGAAAAGTTGAGAATGACGATGGGATGACTCAAGAGAGGAAGGGGAGGTAGGGGAAGGTGGAGTAAATGAGAGAACTTGGAGAAAATGAATGACCGCTGCAAGTGGGGAAGGAGGCGCTGAGGAGAGTAAGGGTTGAGGAGATGAGGGGGAGTGTGAGAGAAGAGTTTAGAAAATGATTATATATATATATATATCATTTAACAGTGTTCACGAAAACACCTCACAACCTCGTTATAATCTTGAAGTGTCTCCAATGATCCTGATAATTTTGAGAATGGCCAAGTGGGAAGTCACCCCAGCAGCAAGCAGCCCAAGATTAATAAGCAGCAGAGAGTCTGGAAGCCAGTCAGATCTTGAAGATTGCCGAGTGGGAGGTCTTCCCAGCAGCAAGCAGGCCGAGATCGATCAGCAGCAGCAGCAGCAGAAGCAACGCCCAGAGGGCTGCTACACCGTTTTCCCCAGTAACACACACCACACACGACACATGCGACAAACTTACCAAGTCTCCAACGATCCTGAGAGTCTTGAGGATGGCCGAGTGGGAGGTCTCCCCAGCAGCAAGCAGCCCGAGATCAATCAGCAGCACAGCCCAGAAGCCATAAATGCTGAAACTCCCATCAGATATCCTAATAATGCTGATAATAGACCAGATATCCTCATTAAAAGCAACCCTCTTAACAGCGTTACCAACTTACAAAGTCCCCGACGATCCTGAGAATCTTGAGGATGGCGGAGTGGGACGTCCTCCCAGCAGCAAGCAGCCCGAGATCGATCAGCAGCAGCAGCAGCGCCCAGAAGCCGGCTATGACGCTGGCTGCTATGAGGTACCGAAAGGCGTGGAAGGACGAGTAGCTTATTCCGGCGACCTTGGCTGTCAGCATCACTGCCAGTGCGCACACTGCTGCAAAGAGCTGAGGAGGAGGGGGCGAGAGGGAGGAGGGGGGGAGACGGCAGGGGGAAGGGGAAAAGGGAGGTTGGAGCAGAGTTGTATCGATCAGCAGCAGCAGCAGCAGCAGCAACGCCAGCAGCAGTGCCCAGAAGGCGGCTATGACGCTGGCAGCTCTGAGGTACCGAAAGGCATGGAAGGACGAGTAGCTTATGCCGGCGACCTCGGCGGTCAGCATCACTGCCAGCGCACACACTGGTGCAAAGAGCTGGACACACGGGGTTGGGTGGGGGACCGGGGTCGAAGAGGAGAAAAGGGCCTTCAAGGGAAGTTGCGTGGCAGGACGAGTAGCATCACTGCCAGTGCACATAGTGCTGGAAACAGCTGGAGTGTGGAGGGTGGGTGAGGGAAGGGAAAGGAAGGTTGAGGAGGGGTTGTACCAATCAGCAAGATCAGCAGCAGCAGAGCCCAGTAAGGTGTGAGGTTGTGTTACAAGAGAGGTTCCGTGGAAGGTGGAGAGCTTATGCCGTGCGCATACTGCCGCCGAAAGCTGATTGGAGGTGGGGAATGCGGAAAAAGGGGGAGGAGGGGTTGAGAGGAGAGTAGAGAGGAGGGTTGGGAAGGAAGGTTGAGAGGAGGAGAGGAGGAATGAGGTAAAAGCCCCGATGAGCAGCCTCGTTTGTTTTGAGTCGACTCACAACACAACCTCAACTTTTGAGGCGCCTCAAAAGTGGACTCAGAACACAGCCTCATTCATGCCTCACTGCATCGGCAGTGAGTGAGCGTGCTGCCAGTGTCAGGTCGATGGACCACCAGTGGTCAAGCAATTCCTGGCAGGAACCGCAGTAAGGGGCTGAGCTGACGCAGTGGTGGAACGAGCGCTTGCTTTTAACAATCATCTTGCGCTTGCCTTGCCGCCCCATCCCCCCCACATCCTGCTCCAGCCTTCATGGCTTGCGCTGCGCATTCTGCCGCCAATTGAATACCGAACAAAACCGCGCAACACCCGACAAAACTGGGCCGGACCGGGCACAACCGGGCAAGAGATTGTTGCGGACGAGATTTACCTGCAGGAATCGCAGCAGCGGGCTGACCCAGTGGTGGAACGAGCACTTGCTCTTAGCAAACAGCTTGCGCTTGCTGCCTCTATCTTTGCCGCCTCAACCCCCCACCTCTCCTGGCCTCATGGCTTGCGCTGCCCACTCTCCTACCAGTGGTGGTATACCGCACAAAACCGAGCAGAATCGAGGAGAACCGGGCAAGAGATCTTAGTGGTCAAGAGATCACCTGCAGGAATCGCAGCAGCGGGCTGACCCAGTGGTGGAACGAGCGCTTGCTCTTAGCAAACATCTTGCGCTTGCCGCCCCCATCCTTCCCCCCTCCTCCCCCCCCTCCTCCCCCCCCTCCTCTCCCTCCTGCTCCCCCTCCGCCGCCTGCTGCTCCAGGCAACATGGTTCCAATTTGACGCTGCTCACTCGCCTACCGAAGGTCACCGCACGACACCGCACAGAACCGGTCACGGCCGATCCTCAAAGCAGCAATAAAGTGATGCGTAACAAGCCTATATGTCTATGGAGCTGCCAATTGGTGGTTACCACCCAGTTACTAGAGATTTCCGAAGCTGGCCATAAACAGAGGGGAGTAAACGGCCTAGGAAGCACAAGAGCAGAGCGGAAATGAGAACCAATGCGACGACGGACGAAAGTTATAGCTCCAGAGAGGACTGCGGTGGACTGTTGAGTCGACTCAAAAGTCGATGGACGAAAGTTATAGCTTCAGAGAGGACTGTGGTGGACTGTCTACGGGAACCAATGCGCGTCCTGCGTTGAACAGGGACCAACACAGGGACCAATGCGCGTCCTGTTCAGCAGTCTCAAAGCTTGGGGAGGCAGTAGTGCCGCGGTGCCTGCCGCTGATGCTGCTGCTGCCCCTGCTGAGGCGAGCGGAGCCCGGCGTAGAGTGGAGCCCGGCGCAATTGATCGCCGTGCTGACGAGCGGAAGGAGCAGTGCGCAGGCGAGCAGTGCGCAGGCGAGCAGTGCGCACCCCTCATCCCTCTGCATCCCAAATAGGGGCCCGGGTGCACGAGGAACACGCGGGGTTTTCAACGCGGTTAAAAGGGATCGGGTGAGGTGTCTCTGCTTCTTGCGGCTAGCGTCTCCGCGTTTCCCCCACTCTTCCTCCCCCCCCTCCCCCCTCCCTTCCTTTCCCGCGTCCCTCAATCCTCACCACTCGCCTCTCGAATTCTCGATTCCAAGCTGGCGATCCCCGTGAGGCCGCCTCTCGAAATCGAGTCGCACATTGCGCATGCAGCATCGAAATTCGGTTTGTATTTATCATTCGAGCATCGAGGCGCGTCCTGGGAAATCCCAGCTGGTTTGGGCTCGGCTTTTCGACCTGCTGATGACGTGGCGAGGCGAATGGGTGAGATTGACTGGCCGCCAGCTGCGGAATGTGGAGCGTCGAGCACTTCAAATGAGGAACGCCTGCGAAGAGTAATTTATTTCTATCATGGGAACCCTCGAAAGAAGAACAGGTTTAAAATCATATAAGGAGCGCTATAAATGGTACTCGTGTGTCTCCATCGCAGGACTTCCTGACGAGTATGCGTCGTACGTTCCGAGGGGGTTGCTACATTTGGTTCGAAGTGGCGAAGGCTCGTTTCGTCACGTCAGCTCACTTCACACAACATGCCCGATAGGTGTTACATGGTATGGGGACGGCGAAAGTCAACGGGGAAATCACGAAATCGACGACAGTTTTTGGTGCTTACGAACAGTTTCGCCATTGATCTGTTCACCCTCGCGAACGATTTCGTTGTTTTTGGGTGTTTGCGCCCTATTCGAAGATTTGTTTCATGTGCTGAATGAGCAATTTGTCTGGAGGTTCGCCAATTTCAGACAAAATTGGGCCCCCAGCCATTACATCCCGCTGGGCCCTAGCTGAGCCCAATGTAGCCTGCCATGTCTCCCTCCATATGGATATTCCAAGGAATGTAGAGTCTCCATCCAAGTCGAGTCTGTCGATTCAAATCTCCATTCTACTTTCATCCGCCTTGTCTCTTTTCATGCGTTGCTTCTGAGAAGCGCCGTATTCTGCGCCGCTGAATCTTCTTCGTATGCAGCTGTCACACCCGCAGTTCCGCGTTCGTCGGTTTTTTAGTACACGCAGCAAGCAAGCGAGATTGGAACTTCGCACTATTAACGTGTAGGAAACGGCGGGCTGTGACGTCATCATGCCGTCCACGCCTCGACTCGGCATGTTCTGGGCGGCAGCGCTCGGCGTCGGAGTCGTCACGTGCAGCGTCGCCTCTGTCCGTCAGAAAAACGCCGCCGCGGCTTCGACGTCCGTCAACCTGACGGCGGACGGCACGCTGGGGAGGGTTTTCAGTCGCGGGCCGTTCCGTGTGATTGAGGAAAATGTGCGACCTCGGGAATGCGCCTTCGCCCAGGTATTGTCGTGAAGTTACCTCTTATTTCTATTCTTATTCTTACTCTTATTTTGGCTTCAGTTTTGACTGGTGGAGGAGAAATTGCAAACCTTTGGGACTGCTCCTTCGCCCAGGTATTGTCGCGAATAAACCATTTTAACCATATCAAAGCCTAGGGTGACATAAGGCCTCATTAACCTACATTTATTACGAAAGCGTGCAACCTCATCCCAAAAATGTTTGGTCCGTATACTATGTTCAAACATGTTAGCAGCATTGCAAATACAATGTCGCAAAACATGTTTATACATAGTACGGGGCCTTCGAATGTTTGGGATACTTGGGATTGCCCTGTCGCCCGGATATGGAATATACTTGTTCGTGCTGTTGCATCTTTATAAGACATAATAAGAACTATTATAAGCCTTGCTTTGGTGGAGGTTCCATGCATGCATGAATCGGGACACGCTGCAAGCAATCCACCTTCTGCACCCGATCCTGCACCGTTTCATCCCTCCCCCTCCCTTCATCCCCTCCCCTCCCTTTCCCATTTCACTTTAATTGGTTTTTGAAATTTCTCAAAAGCCAACTCCACTCCAAAACACGAATTTTTTTTGTCGGCGCAAAAGTCTCCTGCACAGTATCGTCTCCTGCCTGCTTTCCCTTTCCCAGTTCCCACCGTTCTTGCTTCCACACACTATATTTCCCTGTGACTCCTTCCCATTCCCCTCCAATCAGGAGATGCCACCTAAGCCTGTCCGCGTGTGGGTCCCACTCCTAGATCTCTCCAGGGGCGAATCTTCTGATCCGGTCCAGGATTCCTCTGCTGATGCTAAGGCGGCTGTTTCACCTGGTCAGGAGGAGCAGAAAAACACCTGGCAGCAACAGAGCAGCACCTGGCAGGTGCCAGTGGTGGTGTTTCAGCACGGGTTTGCGTCTCAGAACTATTTCTACGCTGACCTTCTCTCACGAATAGCTTCCCATGGCTACATTGTCGTGGCGCCACAGGTAACACCTTCCTCAGGCAACACTTTCCCCAGGTAACACCCTGCTCAGGTGAACCCTTTGTCAGGTAACACCGTCCTCGGTTAACACCACCTTCCTAAGGTAGCACCTTCCTCAAGTAACACCTCCCTCAGGTAAAAACTTCTCCAGGTAACACCAGACAGTAGGCTGTACTGTAGTACATCAGCTGTGTTTCAATTGCATTCGCTTGTTCTAGGCTGCTAGCTACCTGGTACCTCGCAAAGCCCTTTGAAATCTACCCATGTCCCCGTTTTGGGGCACCTCAAAACGAGACTCTTGTCCTAGCTACTCGGTACCCCCCAAAGCCCTTTGAGCTCTACCCATTTCCCCGATTTGAGGCGCCTCAAAACTAGACTCTTGTGCTAGCTACTCGGTACCCCCCAAGGTCCTTTGAACTCTGCCCAAGTCCCCGAAACACGTCTGCATTAGAATCACGTCTGCATTAGAAACACGTCTGCATTAGAATCACGTCTGCATTAGAATCACGTCTGCATTAGAATCCAGGGCATCTCTCAAACACCGGAGCTGCCCACCTCTCCCCCTTCCAACCCCTTCCCGACCCCCGACCCCTCCCCTGCAGATGTACTCGTTAGTAGCAGGCTTCGACACCACGCCAGAAATGCAAGATGCAGTGAAAGTCATCAGCTGGCTTCATAGCAATCTGAACGCTCTCATTCATACGCGAATCAAGCCTGTTTCACCAACAGCTAGACGGGCAGCAGAACGGGCAGCTGAAAAAGGGGCGGGTGAGTGGTCACGTGAGAGGGCAGCACGAGACGAGGCAGTGGTGGCGCAACCTGATTGGTCGAGGCTTGTGCTGGCAGGCCACAGCAGGGGAGGGAAGGTGGCGTTCGGTCTTCTGAGAGGCCTGGTGGGATCCCACCAAGCTTCTGAGCAGGTCGCATCCCTAGAGATCCCAGCACCAGTAAGACACTTGGTGGGGTCTCTAGCAGCAGCAAAACCCTTATTGGCGTTACCAGGAGCAGCAAGACCCGAGACACCATCGCAGCAGCAGGATCAGCTGCTAAGACAGGATCAGCCACTAAGACAGGATCAGCCACTAAGACAGGATCAGCCACTAAGACAGGATCAGCCACTAAGACAGGATCAGCCACTAAGACAGGATCAGCCACTAAGACGGAATCAGAGATCTCAGGAGCTAGGTCTACCTGTGTTACCAGTACCAATTCAAGCCTCAGTGCTCTTTGATCCCGTGGATGCTTTGGCGTTTAAAGCCACCTATCCTCCCACACTCACTCACCAGCCCGGCTCCATCTCCCTGCCGTTCAACAACCCTCCTCCTGTACTCGTTATAGGGTCAGGCCTGGGCCCCATTCCCAGGGGCGGAAAATCCGCTACTGATAAAGGTAACCCGTGCGCGCCTGAGAATTTTGGCCATAAAGTGTTTTTCTCGGACCTGGTCGGCCCCGCGTACCATTTTTCGGTGCCCGAATTCGGCCACACTGACTTCTATGATGAGAATCTCGGGCCGATTTATGGGCCGGTGTTTAGCAGGATGTGCAGTAATGGGCCGGCTAGGGAGCCCATGCGGGTGGTGGCAGCGGGACTGGCAGTGGCGTTTCTCAATGCTGTGGTTGGGGGAGGGGTGCCACCTGGTGGGGTGAGAAGTGGTGTGACCGGGGGAGGTGTGACCGGGAGAGGTGTGACCGGGGGTGGTGTGACCGGGGGTGGTGTGACCGGGGGTGGTGTGACGGGGGGTGGTTTTGCAGAGGGTGGTGGGGGAGATGCAGCAAGGAGTTTAGAGGAGAGGCGGGCTTTGAAGCAGCTGGTGGCAGCTGCTGCAGGGGTCGCAGTGGCTTCTCCTGACATGCAGAGGCTTTCAAGTCGACTCCAAAATACTCAAAAATCACCTGCAGATGCTGTAGGAGTTGCAGTGGCTGTTCCAGACACGCGGAGATTTCGGGAGCAGAGCACGCAGCGAAGCACGGAGCAGAAGGTGCTGGACCAGAAGGAGCTAGAGCACAAGCAGGTGGAGCAGGAGAGAAGAAGGCTTGAGGACGTGTTTCAGAGGAGTGGAGGCAGCAGAGGGGGGGCATGTGGAGGGGCGAGCAGAGGCAGTGACTCTGGTTTAGGGGACAGGGGAGGTCTGCTGCGCTCCAATGGGTGCGTGGGTTGGATTGGTTCTAGGGATGGGATCGACTCCATGGACCTCTGTGATCTGTTGCAGCACCCTGAGCATTCTCCTGTGCTGCTGTCTGAGGTGGGGTGGAAGGTGGGGCAGCGGCAGGAAACACCTGAAGAGATACCTGGCGTAGTTGGAGCCGCAATTGCAACAGCTGGTGCTGCTGGTGCTGCTGGTGATGCCGCTGACATTGCAGCTGATGCTATTCAAAGCCCTGCTGGTGCTGTTGCACCTGTTTGTAGCTGATGAATATCATACACCGTTTGGACATTCAATTTAGTGTTTTTATTTATAGATAGCTTTTCCATCCGTGTATCAAGCCCCTTCTTACTGGGGATTCGCTAGCCGCGCCAGCGAGTTTACTGTACAGGGTGACGAAGGGGCACATTCGTGAATGCGGCTTCCAAAACAGTGTGTCAAGTCATCCCGATCAGTCGAGAGTCTCCTCGTACAGGTGTGTTACTGAAGTACATCCGATTGCTGCTCAAAACATTAATTTGCGTTCTAAAATGTTCAAATAAAGTCCTAGATGGGTTGAATAGGGTATTTTCGGAAGACGTACTTGTGACACACCCGCTCTTGCAAAATTGCAACTGCAATACAGCAATGCAGCAATGGTGCACAGGCCGGTCACGGTTTCACCAGCCCTTTCCCACACGGCACTTCACCTGGAGCACCATCAATCCCATTTCCCCCTGATGGGCTTGCCATTGAATCTCATTTCGCCCTTCCTGTCTCCTCCACTCCTTTCAGTTCACGCCTCTTCATTTCTTTTCTTCGATACATTGTGAATAAGGTTCGTTGCAGCCCCAGTTCTGAAGCGAGTTCGTAGCATAAGGAAGCCGTTGCGTACGTCAAGTTTTGAGGTGCCTCAAAACTAAATTCGTAGCATAAGGAAGCTATTTTTGAGGCGCCTCAAAAATAGACTCCTCACGCTTCGTAGCATAAGGAAGCCGTTGCGTACGTCCTCATGCCATCCACGCCTCGGCTCGGCATCACGTTCTGGGCGGCAGCTCTGGGCGTCGGGGTCGTCACGTGCGCCTTCGCCTTCGCCCGTAAAAAAAACGCCGCCGCCTCGACGCTCTCTGCCAACCTGACGGCGGATGGCACGCCGGGGAAGGTTTTCAGTCGCGGGCCGTTTCGAGTGGTTGAGCAGAACGTGCGACCTCGGGACTGCCCCTTCGCGCAGGTACTGACGTGTAAACCTTCACTTAAACTCGTATCAACCAATTGCTTTGGTTGTTTTGAGTTGACTTGAGGTGCCTCGATAATCGACTCCCTCTTTGAGTGGTAGAGGAGAATGTCTGACCTCGAAACTGCTCCCTCCCTTCGCTTGGCCATGGTTCCTAGCCATCCCGTTTAGGTGTGGATTAGGATGGCTCGTCGCTCGTCTTAGGAGGCTCTAGGCTCGACTTAGTGCGTTAGGTTGCGCCTCAGGGCACCCTTAACGTTTCAAAGGTGACTTTTGAGTCGACTCAAAAGTCGGCTCGACTTAGTGCGTTAGGTTGCGCCTCAGGGCACCCTTAACTTTTCAGCCTGCAGCACACAGCACGCCACGTGCATTCCCTTGGGACCCCCTGCCGCGGCCCCAGCTCTGCATACTCTCTAAACCCTCCTTCCTGCATTTGTCTCATCCCATCCCAATCTCATCAGACACAAGGAGATTCCCAGTCCTAGATCTCCCCTTCAGCGAATTTCCTCATTCCGCCCAGCCGTCTCCTGCTTCTCCTGTCTCCCGTCCTGCCCCCTGCCTTCCCCTATCAGGAGCCTTTACCTAAGCCCATGCGTCTGTGGGTCCCACTCCTAGACCTCCCCTGCAGCAACGATACCCCTGATTCCGCCCAGCCTTCTCCTGCTTCTCCTGCTGCTGCTGAAGCTGCACCTGAAGCAGCTCCTGGCGATTCACCTGATCAGGGGCAGGGAAACACCTGGCGGCAACAGAGGGGCACCTGGCAGGTGCCGGTGGTGGTGTTTCAGCACGGATTTGCGTCTCAGAACTATTTCTACTCCGACCTGCTCTCGAGAATAGCCTCCCATGGCTACATTGTCGTGGCGCCACAGGTAACACCTTACCCAGGTTACACCTGCTCCCCAGGTAACACCTGCCTCACCTCAGAGAGAAGTATTTCTACTCCGACCTGCTCTCGAGAATAGCCTCCCATGGCTACATCGTCGTGGCGCCACAGGTAACACCTTCCTCACGTAACACCTGCCTGCCTCAGGTATATGATTCCCCAGGTAACACCTGGTACACATCAGACAAAACTTCTTCTACTCCAACCTGCTTTCGAGGTTAGCTTCCCATGGCTTCATTGTCGTGGATCCCCAGGTAACACCTACCCTGGAAGTGGCCTACATGTTGGTTGATCTGCTTTCTACATATTGGTCCTTTTTCCTAACCTTATCAACTTAACCCATACCCATGTGCTTTGTGCGTCAAGAATGTCGCCAAAGCACCTCAAACCTTCTCCTTACTCCCCCCATGAGCCTCTCCTCCCACTCACACACACACACACACACACACACACACACACACACACACACACACACACACACGCACACACACACACACACACACACACGCACACACACGCACACACGCAAGAACGCACGCACACACACAAACACACACACACACACCTCCCCCTTTCCTTCCCGTTCCCCTCCCCACTCCGCCTCCCCGTTCCCCGCTTTTTCCCCCATCTGCAGATGTACTCCATATTAGCAGGATTCGACACACTGCCAGAAATGAAGGATGCAGTGAAAGTTATCAACTGGCTGCATGCCAATCTGGACTCCCTCATTCACATGCGAATAAGGCCCACTGCACTGGAAGCTGCCCGGGCAGCTGAAAGGGCAGCTGGAAAGGGAACGGGCGAGTGGTCAGCTGAACGGGCAGCAGGAGACGAGGCAGTGGTGGCGCAACCTGATTGGTCGAGGCTTGTGCTAGCAGGCCACAGCAGGGGAGGGAAGGTGGCGTTCGGTGTTTTAAGAGGCTTGGTGGGATCCCTAGAAATCGCAACACCAGCAAAACACGAGACTCCAACGCAGCAGGATCAGCCCTTGAGGAAGAATCAGGAATCTCAGGAGCCAGACCTGCCAGTGCTTTTGAGGCGCCTCAAAAGCGCTCAGCAGGCGCAGCAGGCTCAGCAGGCTCAGCAGGCTCAGCAGGCTCAGCAGGGTCAGCAGGGTGAGCAGGATCAGCCCTTGAGAAAGAATCAGGAATCTCAGGAGCCAGACCTGCCAGTGCCTATTAAAGCTGCGCTGCTCTTTGACCCTGTTGACGGAACGGCTACTAAAGCCACCAATCCCATTACTCTCACTCACCAGCCGGATTCCATATCCTTGCCATTCAATAACCCTCCTGTACTCGTTATAGGCTCAGGCCTGGGGCCAATCCCTAGGGGAGGCAAATCTCCTACTGATAGAGGTACCCCATGCGCGCCCGAAAATTTCGGGCACAAGGTCTTTTTCTCAGACCTGGTCGGGCCGGAGTACCATTTTTCGGTGCCCGAGTTCGGCCATGCTGACTTTTATGACGACAATTTGGGCCCGATTTATGGACCGCTGTTTAGCAGAGTGTGCAACAACGGGCCGGCTAGGGAGCCGATGCGGGTGGCAGCAGGAGGGCTGGCAGTGGCGTTTCTCAAGGCTGTGGTTGGGGGAGGGGTGCCGCCTGGTGATAGGACAGGTGGTGGCATGGCACATGCTGCAAGGACTTTAGAGGGGGAGAGACGGGCTTTGGAGCGACTAGTGGCAGATTCTGCAGTTGATGTAGCGACCGTAGCTGCTGCAGCAGATGTAGCGACTGTAGCTGCTGCAGCAGATGTAGCGACCGACATGCAGAGTTCTCAGGAGCGAATTACGAAGCAGGAGAGAAGGAGACTTGAGGAGGTGTTTCAGAAGAGTGGAGGCAGCGGCAAAGGGGTGTGTGGAGGGGCGTGTGGAGGGGCTGACTCTGGTTCGGGGGGCAGGGAAGGTCAACTGCACTCCAATGGGAATGTGGACGTGATTGGTTCTAGGAGTGGGATCGACTCCAGGGACCTCTGTGATCTGTTGCAGCATCCTGGGCATTCTCCTGTGCTGTTGTCAGATGTGGGGTGGAAGGTGGGGCGGCGGCAGGAAACACCTGATGGAGTACCTGCCACGTTCTGTGGGGCTGCAACTGCTACAGCTGCTGCTACAGCTGCTGCTTCTGTTCTTGGCTGATTTTCAAACAAATACATATATATACAGTCTGTACAGAAAGTGTTTCCACTTATGCATCAAACCCCTTTGGATTGGGGAGCAGCTAGCCACACAGGTGAATGTATAGGATTACTCAATATATCATCCAAATTTGCAGAGTCCCCCTGCACTGTAGCTTTGAGGAATGCAACACCAATGCCCGATGCAGCAACATGCATAGGCCGTTTCGCCGGCCCTCTTCTGCACGCCACCTCACCTAAAGCACCCCAAATCCCGATGCGCTTGTCGTAAAAATCCAAGTGTCCATACTCGGGCACTACAAAATAATATGCAGGCCCCACGAGGTCAGAAAAAAACGTTTTATGCCCGAAATATTTGGGCGGGCAGGCGGGCAGCCCGGGCGCTTTTGGGATCGGACCGAGGCCCGAGCCTACGATTAGGGCTGGGACAGAAAGGACAAGGGAGCTGGGCCGGTGTACGAGAACGGGCGGCACGTTTTTGGAGGTATTTGAGGTGCCGTCTGAAGGGTCAAAAAGGAGGAGGGCTGAGATGGGGACTGGGGAGGAGGGGGAGACGATGTTACGTGTTACACCGAATGCCACTTTGCCACCCACACTGTGACCTGATATGACGAATTTGGACCAATCAGGTGACGTGTTTCGGAAAGGGTAGGTGGCAGTGGGGGAGGCATTCTTGGGGGAGGAGGTGGAGGGGGATGGAACATTAAAGGGGGGAGGAGAGGAGGACGAGGAGGGGGGTGAGAAGGAGATCGGTTGAAGTTGTTGCTTTGACTGGGACACTGGTCGCCTCTGCTTCTTCTGCTGCAGCCACGTGGCAAGGTTCTTCCTCATCCATGTGATCACTCGTACGCTGCCTCTCATCTCGGGCCTTGTGTTGGATCGGCCTATCAAGGGGTACATCTGGAGCACAGGGCGAACAGGCAGAGAAAAGGACCAGTGCGAAGGGAGGACTGCTTGGGAATAGACTTGAGATGGGGAGACACTGTAATCCCAATTAACTGTGCACAATGAAAAAAAAAAAAAAAAAAGGAGGAAAAAAAGAAAGAAAGAAAGAAAAAAAAACGGGGGCTCAAAATCAGGGCGAACAGGTGGAGGGAAGGACCAGGAGAGGGATTTTTGAGTCGACTCAAAAATCGACTCATTACACCAGGAGAGGGAGGAGTGCTTGGGAATAGACTTGGGATGGAGAGACACTGTGATCCCAACTGTGCAAATGTATTTTGAGTCGACTCAAAATAGACTTGGAATGGAGAGACGCTGTGATCCCAACCAACTGTGCAAAAAATATGGAAGGCAGAGCAATGGAACGCTGCAATTATACTCGCGAGAGGAACTGTGAAAGAGAAAGGGATTTACCCCAACAATGAAAGGGAAATTTGTTAGGGACAAGTAATAATACATGGGTAGCCTTTTTCTGAGGCGCCTAAAAAAAAGGGACAAGTAATACCTGGGGAGCCACCACAATGAAGCTGTGCGACGCAATGCGCGACAGCAGCTGCGAGTAGAAGTGTGTCTTGGCTGCAAGCAACACATTGCAGCGAATGCACTCTTACCCACAAGCCCTTACCCACAGACACACCCACGCACACGAACCTGGGGAGCCACCACAATGAAGCCGTGCGACGCTATGCGCGACAGCAGCTGCGAGTAGAAGTGCGTTTTGGCAGCAAAGCCGTGTTGGAAGAGCAGCACGGGCGAAGAGAGCGGGGCGGAGGAGACCGGCACCCACAGGCGCAAGGGCTTTGGGAGGGCGCTCTGGGGAGAGGAAGAGCGGGAGGGGTAAGCGGGTGGGGGGAAAAAGGGGGGGCAGGGGGACGGGGGGGGCAGGGGGAGTAAATGCAGTGAGAGAGGAGAGAGGAGAGCGGGGCGGAGGAGACCGGCATTCACAGGCGCAAGGGCTTTAAGGGGGCGCTCTGGGGAGAGGAAGAGCGGGAGGGGTAAGCGGGTGGGGGGGAAAAGGGGGGGCAGGGGGAGTAAATGCAGTGAGAGAGGAGAGAGGAGAGCGGGGCGGAGGAGACCGGCACCCACAGGCGCAAGGGCTTTGGGGGGGCGCTCTGGGGAGAGGAAGAGCGGGAGGGGTAAGTGGGTGGGGGGAAAAAGGGGGGGCAGGGGGACCGGGGGGGCAGGGGGAGTAAATGCAGTGAGAGAGGAGAGAGGAGAGCGGGGCGGAGGAGACCGGCACCCACAGGCGCAAGGGCTTTAGGGGGGCGCTCTGGGGAGAGGAAGAGCGGGAGGGGTAAGCGGGTGGGGGGAAAAAGGGGGGGCAGGGGGACGGGGGGGGGCAGGGGGAGTAAATGCAGTGAGAGAGAAGAGAGGAGAGCGGGGCGGAGGAGACCGGCACCCACAGGCGCAAGGGTTTTGGAGGAGCGCTCTGGGGAGAGGAAGTGCGGGCGAAGGGGGGAGAGAGGAGAGAGAGAGGAGATTGAGAGCGGCGGGAGAGGCGAAATCAGTGCAGACACCGAGAGAGAGCGAGGGGAAAGACGTTTGAGTCGACTCAAACGAGAGGCGGGCGGGAGAGGCGGACTCAGTGCACACACCGAGAGAGAGCGAGGGGAAAGACGAGGTAAAGACTAGGAACGCGCGTGTGTGGAGAGCTCCAGCACTAACCGCCTCAGCGCACCCCTATCGTCGAGGTACTGGATGGACGCTTCGAGGCGATCCCACTCTCTGGTACGCGAGAGGGACCACGGGAAAAGAACGGCAGTAGCGGCCTTAGAACGTCCCTACCTTTGAGTTGCTGAAAGGACGTTTCGTAGCGATCCCCCGTTCAAGCACGCGATACGGACCGCGCGAGAACACCTTTCCAGGGGTGCGGTCTTGACCAATGAGATTACGGTTAGGAGTTTGTTGGATAAGCGAAAGCCGATCACCCCTCGAGTCTCGAGCGACTAAGGCGAGGAGGAAAAGGACTACGATTCGACCAACCCGAGCTGACATTGCTTGGTCACTGCCAAGCATTGGCTACCGCTGAAGGGAACCAGTTTACCCTAGAATGCGACCGGAATGGCTCCTAGTTCATTAAATACTACTCAAAATCTCCCTGACCGGAAAAAAAAAAAAACGAACTGAAAATTTCCCTGAGAAGCTGCTCCCACAGCGGCATTTCCTAGGCTGGTGATCCCAGGTTCGCTACAGCTGGTATCGATGTCTAGTTTATTCTGCACGAGACCTAAGTTGTTCTATAGAGGATATTGCATATTTGCACAAAATAGGCATCAAAGCATTTACTTCATCACGGTTTGGTTACAGGCTGGCTAATTGGAACAGGGGAGTGGCCTGGATTCGCCATTAAATCGTCTAAATCAGCAGAGTCTCCTAGAAGCTTAGCCTGGAGGAACGCCACCATTAGCCCACCAGTCACCACCCGCATAGGCTTTCTCGCCGGCCCATTCTTGCAAAAATGCTTGGAGATAAACGTAATCCCCGGGCCGATCCAATTATTGAAAAAATCTGCGTGCCCGTAGCCGGGCACGGCAAATTTCCACACCGGGTCTACCATATCCGAGTAAAACTCCTTGTAATTGTCGCCTTCAGGAGCGCAGGAACCTCCTAATCCCGTTCCTAACACTGCCACAGGAGCCGAGACTTGGATCGAGTTGGGAACATACGTAAGCACGGAATCTCCGGATTTAAAGGAGCTTCTTTCCCCACCACCATTTACAGGGTCGAGGAGAAATTGCGCTTTAATCGCCACCGCCGATTTGCAAAATAGCTCCCGGAGAACCCCAAAGGCGACTTTCCCGCCGCGGCTGTGGCCGGTCAGGGCGAATTTGGACCAATCAGGGGAGGCCTTGGTTCGGCGATGCAGGATTGGATGGCGGGCAAGCCAGTCTTTGAGGTTGTCTTTCAGCCAGCGAATGACTGCGCATGAGCCCTTCATCTCGTAGATGGCGCCTGTGAGGCCGATGAGAGGGTACATCTGGAGGGTAGGGATGTGAGCGCGGGAGAGGAAGATGTGAGAACATGGGCGAGCCAGCCTTTGAGGTTGCCTTTCAACCAGCGAATGACTGCGCAGGAGCCTTTCATCTCGTTTATGGCTCCTGTGAGGCCGATGAGAGGGTACACCTGGAGGGTGGGGATGTGCGGGCAAGAAAGGATAGGGAATGTGTTAGTTGGAAGAAAGGGCGGTTGTTTTTCAACCAGCGAATGACTGCGCAAGAACCTTTCATTCAGTAGATGGCGCCTGTGAGGCCGATGAGAGGGGGTACATCTGGATGGTGTGAATGGGGCGTGCAGGGGAGCAGGGAGTCTATTTTTTAGGCGCCTCAAAAATAGACTCTTCAGTAGATGGCGCCTGTGAGGCCGATGAGAGGGGGTACATCTGGATGGTGTGAATGGGGCGTGCAGGGGAGCAGGGAGTCTATTTTTTAGGCGCCTCAAAAATAGACTCTTCAGTAGATGGCGCCTGTGAGGCCGATGAGAGGGGGTACCATCTGGACGGTGTGAATGGGGCGTGCAGGGAAGCAGGGAGAGACAGAGAGTAAGTGGTGCAGAGGAGCAGGGAGAGACAGAGAGTAAGCGGTGCAGGGGAGCAGGGAGAGACAGAGAGTAAGCGGTGCAGGGGAGCAGGGAGAGACAGAGAGTAAGCGGTGCAGGGGAGCAGGGAGAGACAGAGAGTAAGCGGTGCAGGGGAGCAGGGAGAGACAGAGAGTAAGCGGTGCAGGGGAGCAGGGAGAGACAGAGAGTAAGCGGTGCAGGGGAGCAGGGAGAGACAGAGAGTAAGCGGTGCAGGGGAGAACCGGAATGTTGTAACTGCAAAAAGAGAAAGGGTGTAACTCAAGTATACGTCTGAACACAGCCGTCCATCTACCTTACTGTACCTGTTAACGCTGCATTTGAGACGTCTCAAAACGAAAGAGCTACACCTCTAGTATATGTCTGAACACAGCCTTCCATCTAATTTACAGTACCTGTAATGCTGGAAAGAGGGAGCCACGAAAATGTAGCCATGGGACACAACCCTTTTGAGCAAACCTGGGAGCCAGTAATCTCGAGTCACCCACCAGAGTGCATGTCCGAGTGAGGTGTTACCTGCGTACAGGTGTCATCTGCCAGACAGGTAGTACCTGAGAAGCCATGGGGCAACACCCTTGGAGCATGTCAGCGAGCTAGCTGCGAGTCAACATCTGGCTTTGACCTCAGGGAGGTATAACCTGTTAGGAAGGTGTTATCCGCCAGGTAGGTGTTATCTGCAAGGGAGGTATTACCTGAGGCGCCACTACAATGTAACCGTGGGAGACCACTCTCTTGAGCATATCTCCAAACCAGTAGTTGTGAGTCGCCCACCCGTGCTGAAACAGAACCACTGGGAAGGACTGAGGTGATGACGTGGCAGGCGCCCATAGGAGGAGAGGGCGGGGGGGTAGCACCTGGAGCCGGGGGAGGGGGGAAGGAGGGAAGGGGGTGCGGATGGGGGGCCGAGAAAAGGGGCGAAAGGGGAGGGGGGGTGTGGGGGTGGGGGGGGGGGAAAGAGGAGGAGTGGGGAAGAGACAGGAAAAGGGATTGGTGAGGAATTGAGGGGAGGGGGGCAATGAGTGAGGAGGTGGTGAGGGGAGAGACATAGACAGTGGAACTAACCTTCAAGTCGCCATGATGGGCCGTGATATGCGGTGACATGCAATGATATGCGGTGATATGAGGTGATGCATGTCCGAATACCTTAAATACAAACATCGGTCCGCCAATCGACGATCTCTGCACCACCTTGTAAGACCCCCAGCTAAACACCTTCCCTGGCGTGCCGTCCGCTCCTATAAGCTTCGAGGCCGGCAGGACCGCCGTGCCGTCCGCTCCAAGGAGCGTCGCGGCGGGCAGGTGCGCCGTGCCGGCCGCTCCTATGAGCCTCGAGGCCGGAGGGACCGCCGACGAAGGCGACGAGACATTCTGAAGGGACTGCCATGATTGGAGCGAGGCGAGAGGTTCAGGAATGGGTTGCTGCTGATCATAAGGCACGTCGGGGAGAGGCGACGCGTCGGGGAAAGGCGACGCGTCGGGGAGAGGCGATGCGTCGCGTAGAGGCGATGCGTTGGACGCGAAGGATAGAAAGGAGACGGCCAGGAGGGAAGTTACTAGCAGCGAAGCGATGCGGGAAAGCGCGCGTGGCGGTGGGAGGGGTTGGAGAGTCGGCAGGCTGCGGCGGGAGGAGACGAGCAATGCCAATCGAGCAGCCATATTGCTGCCTAGTACTAGAGACCGTGCCAAGCTGGTGATTCCTAGCGGGTCCTTGCGGCTATTACCAGTCCTAGTACTGCTGGGTCGTGCCTGATCGACGTGGGAAAAGTATAAGATCGTTACTCAAACTCGCGTCGGCAGAGAACAAAGTTATCAACGAGAGAGGTCAGCTCCCCGCCATGGCGGGGTCGCATTAGATGACATGCTGATCCACCGCACCCGTTGACATCTGGTCGGGGAAAAAGCTTGGCAGAATTGAATGAGAGAGACTGTTGGCCAGGGGGCCGTTCGCTGGCAATTTTCCGAGGGGAACGGGGAGGGGAACGGGCGACCAAATCCCGCGCGCACGGAATCTGCGCAGCCAAACCTACGTAATTTTTTTTTGTGTGCCCCCGTACTTTGGTAATCATAACGTCGCCGGCTCATGATTACGTCGGTCAAGACTGCAGGACTGGATAAGACAAACTCGCGGACAGTGAAGAGTGGGGCCCATCAAAAGCCCTCTTAGCCCATCGCACTTTCGTGGAAAATCTAGGGGAGAAAATGCGATTCACACAATTTTGTCAAAACTGCCAATTTTTTTAACATTTCAAAATGTGACCGATTGGATGGGTATGAGCTGGCGCAATTGCGCAAATCGACGGGTAGGATTGAAGGGGAAGTGGCTGGAGTTTTTTTTTGGGTTTCGTAAACCTGCCCAACCAAGAGGCATGCCAATCTTGGCCTGCCTCATACCACGATTTTGCAGTATGAGGTGTGGCACGGAGTTTGCCTGGCAGCTCTGGGCGGCTGATGGCCGCGCTTCGGGTTTGGCATGAGAAGGAGCACGCGATTTGGGGGCAATTGGTTTGGGGAAACCGAACCGACGCGACGTTTTCGCATGCGGATGTCACGTTTCGCAAATTTGGTTCGGCGAACCCACGAAGCCTCGATCGATGTTCCCCATGCCTGATTTCCCTCGCCGAATCAAATTTGCGAAACTGAAGCCAGGGACTGAAGCCTAATCGCGTAACTGAAGCGGTATGATGACGTCATCCCGAGATGTGCGATGCTTTGCTGACATCATCACTCGGACCTGTTTCCTTACCGAGAAACTCGACACTGCTAACCACACCAAAAACGGAACTTGCAGGAATGCAAAACTTCAATTATCACAAAAGGAACAACCGCGACTGAAATCTGGTCAGCCAATCCAAAACACCCTGGAAAGTTCCAAGGTGCCAGGTCTTCATTCCTCGGGACGTGCCATGGGTAACCCACATCTTGCCAGCTGGTGCTCAGGGAGCCTCGCGCGAGCAAGTAACTTTTGTAAGTTACGCCCAGCCTTCCATGCGACAAAAATTATCTGAGTGTATAATCCGTGTGTAATGAGTCGATTTTTTAGTCGACTCAAAAATCGAATCATTACACACGCATGGAATGGTATTTGTCCCGGTGCTCGGGCAAGGAGGCCTATGCAAATGGCCACTGCTGGTATCATGGTGGCTTTCTTGCAAGCTAAGTTTTTGAGTGACTCTGCAAACCTGGAGGATATTCTTGCAGTCCCTAGCCGTTCCCCTGGGAAACTTGATCCGCTTCTATCGAAGTAGCCCTCTATTTGTACACATGTTTTGTTCCTCCATTATATTATAGCGACTCACTGAACCTTCCTCTGGTGGAGCTCGCAACGACCCAACCAACTTGTAGCGCGTACGAACATTGTTGCTATGTTTCTAGGCGCGGTGCATTTGAACGTGTTTTGCGAAACTGAGCTTTCGCCATGGCGAGGCGAACCGAGAAAACCCCACTCCAACGGCATTCGCGAAGTCATCAGTGATTCGGTTTTCAGCAAATTCGAGGTTATCAATTTCATGGGTCAAAATCTAGGTGCACTGCCACCGCGCCGAAGCGCTCACCGAACCATCTGTGCGTGCGGCGGTCAGTACGGAAAGGTAGGCCGTCCACGTGAGTGCTGTGTTCAAACAACACTCTTCCGTACTTGCTACTGCACTAAGTTCGGCGCTAATCTCCCAGCCACTTAGCGTCCCTTAGCCTAATTTGCTAGTTAGCCGAGGCTTTTCCTTTCGGTCGGTGGTTCTCTCTGACTTGACACAGGCAGCGCTCAGAAGCAGCTTTAGGGCGCGGTACATTAGCCAGTCCAGGACAAGCCTAGTGCGCCTTCAGTGGTTGACCATAACGCAGCCCTTCTGAGTCGACTTAAGAGTCGCCTAGGTCATCAACAGCGTAGCGCCCACTGCTCAATTTCACCTCGGTTTCTCGGCTCGAACGACCCTCGGACGACGCTCGAACGACGCTCGTACGACGCTCGTACTAGGCGTGTTTGGACTCCAACCACATTTCGGGAGAGATGATCGGCTCACATTCTCGGTCGCCTCCAACGGCGAATCGTAGGTTTCCACGTGGCGTCCTAACTGCTTTGGCCACGTCATTAGCCGTCCTCTGCTTCCTCTCCTCGATTGTCCGTGTTTCATGCGAGGCGGTCGGTACATATGCCACAGATCCCAGCTCAGATGTAACGTCTGCCAGCTCAGCTGTAACGTCTGCCAGTTCAGATGTATCGAATGCCAGCTCAGTTGTCACGAGCGTTTCTACCGCGGATGTAACGCCTGGAAAAGTGTTCAGCCGCGGACGCTACACCGTGAAACGCGGAGCCTTCCTTCTGAAAGGCCGACAATTCCTTTTCAAGGTACAGTGAACGTCCGCTTTCTCCCCGTCCGTATCTTGTGATATTATTTTCGTTTCGTTTCGTTCTTACAACGAAACTACTATCACTCTGAAACGGGGACGATTCCTTATCAAGGTACAGTGAACGTCCGGTCCGTAATTTACCACAGGCCAATCACGGCAAATCAGTTCATTATCATTGGTTTTGTGAATATTATTTTCACCTCCTTCAAAGAGTTTTTATGCCAACTGATCATTTTCCAGCCGGCTCAACAGTTACAGCCCACTCATTGCATAAGCCAGTCTGCGTGATCCCCTCTCCACCTCTTCTCAAGCCCTTCTTTCCCATCCCTTCCCCCACTTCGCCCCCACCAACCCATTCACAGATTTACCAACCCATTCATAGATCAACCAACCCAAGCCCTTTCGAATCTCATCACCTATGCCGGCCTCTTCCTCAATCCCCTCATTACCCACCCTCCCCCTCCCAAGCCGTTTGTCCCATCCCTCCCCCTCCCTTTCCCCACCTCGTCCCCACCACCCCATCACAGAGCAACCCCCCCAAGCCTCTCCGCATCTGGTCGCCTAAGCCCGCCACAGCCACTGCCCTGCCAGTGCTGGTTTTCCAACATGGCTTTTCCTCTCAGAACACCATGTACTCCCAGCTGCTGACGCGCATTGCGAAGCATGGCTTCATTGTGGTGGCGCCACAAGTACGTACTCATGCACAGCACGCATGGTTTCATTGTGGTGGCGCCACAAGTACGTACTCATGCACAGCATGCATGGTTTCATTGTCCGCTTCATGCCATTGTCTCATGGCCTCATTCCCCACTCATACCCCCATTTCCGACTTTTTTACTCACTCCCCACCGTTGCCCTTGCCCAGATGTACCCTGTGACAGCAGGCTACAATACAGCGCCAGAGATGCGCAGTGCAGCTAACGTCATAGGCTGGCTGCGCAAACGCCTAGCCTCGGTCCTCAAGAACCGTCTCAAAGTGAAAGCTGTTCCGGATTGGGAAAAGTTTGCTATTTCGGGACACAGTCGAGGCGGTAAAGTCGCGTTCGGAGTCGCAAGGGGATTGGTCAAGAAATCCCCGGTTACAATCGGTGCAGTAATTCTGGTCGACCCTGTAGATGGCGCCTATCAAGGGAAAAGCGTTCCAGCTACACTGACCCACAGTCCAGGCTCCATCACTCTGAGCGCTCCTGTACTCGTTATAGGAGCAGGGCTGGGTCCCATTCCAAGCCAAGAAGGTGGGATGCCATGTGCACCGGCTTATTTTGGCCACAAGTTCTACTATTAGGATCTTGCAGCCTCGGCGTATCACGTTGTGCTGCCTAAGTATGGGCATGCAGACTTCAACAATGACTTGAGAATACCGGTTAATGTGTGCCCTGGTGGCCCGAAGAAAGCCAAGGCACGTGCAGCAACTGCTGGACTTGTGGTGGCGTTTCTTAGGGCAAAGCTGGATGGGGATTCGAATGATCTTGATGATGTGTTGGCCAATCCAGGCCACTCTCCTGTCACCTTGTCACCAGTTGAGTCTAAATGAAGGCTGACTCATTGGAAGTGATCTGCTACATGTGGTGCGCTGCTGGCCGTCTCGACCAAGCTCTGTTACCGGTACCGCACAAATATCAGCAGCACAGGCATTGCTCCAGGCTTCCCGAATCCTGCTCCAGGCTTTAGTTTGTGACCCTTCGTCGAGTATTGAGGTTTCTGGCATGGGTAACCGCACGTTCCAGCCTTTTGCACCACCAGGGGAAGAGAAATCAATACAGTATCACTGGTTTTACACAAGGGGAAAAGCCACACAGGCCTTCCCCCTGCTACATCCCCCCAGCATGTCATATACACACTTGGCCATAGCCATATTGACACTGCCGGCATCAAGCAGGGCAGCCAGGACTGCAATTATACCAGTCCGTATATACACACACCCGCAAGTGCTGTATTTATGCCAGCTGGACCTGAGTGGAGTAGGGGCACCCAACAAACTCCCCAATCTGCTGCACGAGGTACTGCTTCTCGCTCACACTCAGGTTCATGCCAAAGCGGTGCGAGCGAACGCCCTCTGAGATCTCACAGGCCGTCATGAAGCCCGCAAATTGGCCCTGAAGTGCGAGCAAGGCGAACGTTGGAGATAAACAAAGATGGGAAGGGGAACTATTATTAAGGGGAAAACAAATCAGAACAACTGCCTGAACATAACACCAGCCAGCACCAAACACATCAACGAAGGAGGGGAAAAAGAGGGAAAACCAATTGAATAGCTTAGAAGCCAACTCGAAGATAACATTCAACAAAACAAAAACGGTTCCACGCACTTACCCCCTAGACCACAATCTTGACATTGAGGATGTCTGAAGGCTTGCCGACCAGTGAGGCTTAAGCGGACTAAAAACTCACCCCCGAAACCACAATCTTGACGTTGAGGATGTCAGAAGGCTTGCCGACCACCGAGGACTTGCGGCAGCCGCACTTGCGGCCGAGGAAGGACGACGTCATGGTGAACTCGGAGGGCGTGAAGGTGACGTGGCGGCGAGACAGGGCCTTGACGACAATGAAGATGGAGACACTGGAAAGGAGGGGTCGATGAGATGAGAGGGCTCATGGAAGAATTCTCTTAAAAATAGGACGACAAAGCAAGGCCGAAAGGAAGAAATGGAAGCCGGAATTTGTGGAAAGGATGAGGGTGAGAGAGGGATCCAATTGCACCAGAAAGAACCGAGGCAAGACACATGAAACGAACAAAATGGAAAAAGTCCATTGCGCACCAAGGTAATGCGCATGTACTTACAGGATGACCAGAGACCCGAGGCCGATAAGAGGACACGTGGAGCAAAAATCCGCCGTGGAAGGAGTGAGCGCATCAAGGTCGACAAAGAAAACGGCGAAGATTGCCACGTAGATCTGAAAACGCAAAGCGGGCAGGTGGAAGGAGTTCCGAGTAAGGTGGAAGTGCAGCAGGAGAATCCGGAACACTGCAAAGAAATAGACTCGCGTTCGGCATGACGCCCTAATCCAGCAAATGAAAGTCGCCAGGAAATGATGGCGCTACCAGGAAGAAGACGTAGAGGAAGAGAGCGCGAGAGGAGAAGCCATTCCGCGGAAGGTTAATCTCCAGCAGGTCGTCGCCCTTGCGGTTCACGCTCTGTTGCACCGAAAAGGCACCAGAAGGATTCAGAGGCAGAAAAAAACGAAGATAATAGCGATGCTTTACAGCAAGCAAAACGAAGACAGCGGACAGATCGAATGCACCGTAACACGGCAAGATCATTCACTGGCGGCCTTGCAGACGCACCAGAAGGGACCCGTAGGAAAGCCGAGCCGGCGAATGCCAGCCTCCATGCCGTTGACGGTGGAATCGCCGTCCTTCGTAGACAGAAGAGCCTTTGAGCAGAGGAGCGAGAAGAACAATAAGGGGAATTAAATAGGTGACACGCGGTGAGGTGGACAAGGGAGCCTGTGAGTAGAAGAATAAGGCGAACTAAGTAGGAGACACACTGCTAGGTGGAACAGGAGTGGTGTACGATAGGCAGTAGCTAACAAGAAAGGAGGTGTAAGAAGAAGTTGCTGAGGGAAGGTCCAGAAGTTGCGATCGTCCGGGAGCAACTGCAATCGCCTGGGAGCAGCTGCCTCATATTGATTGACTCACCACTTTAGCAGAGTCCATGGCTGTGAACGACGAACACGAAGGGACAGGCCGAAAGGCTGAAAATGCAAGGAGTCTCTAGACTAGGAAGGTATGGGTAGGGATGGAGATGTGATGTGATTGACAGGGCTAGAGTGGGAGATATCTGTAGTGCTTTGACGGAGGGTAACTGACGGCGACGGATGTGCTTTCTAAGGAGGTAAACTGACGGGAAATGACGAAACGAAGCGGGCAAAATAGACGGAGCTGAGAAAGGGAACCAGAGTGAAAGTTTTGAAGGGACTAGACCGGGAGGCTTGGGAAACCGGGGAGGCTTGGGGGAATGAAAGAGCTCCGAGAAATTCGCCGAAACTCGTTGAACTTAGGCAAAGGTTTGGTTTGATCTTTCGCCAATGGGAGGGCAAAGTCGAGGCGACCACTTGCTCTTGAGGTCGGCTCGGCTCGACATTGGAGCTGCCCCATCGCACCATCACGGCAGCTGCCCTTGACGTTCGAGGCACGGCAACCACTGCCTGCCCGACCATCAAGGCCTGACGCTCGGCATTCCCTGTGAACCAATCCCACGCATGCTAACCCCCACTGTGAGCTCCATGATGGGCCTTCAGTTTGGTAGGTCCTCTTATGAGACACTCGTTGCTTAAAACCCGCGGCCCAAATTGTTCAAACGCACTGTGTAAGAACTCTGGGCGTGCTGTTTTACGAAACGCACGGGAAAATCGCGAGGGTGTTTTTCCTCGTGAGCTGCAGAGTGTTCGTGCACCGTCAGATTCGACCCTAATATTTTGGACGGTTGAGATTGATCCTTGAATTACTGGTGGTGCTTTGGAAAGAAGAGTTTGCGTGCGGACTGTCAGATGCAGATCTGTGAAAAATGGACGGTAAATAAACGTGCTACACATGGAGTTCCAAATTGCAGCAGGCAGTGAACTTGAAAGGCACCCCCAGAGTGGCGAGACTCACGTTACCCCACTCTACACCCACGAAAGCGCTACTTTCAAACGCCAGTGCGTTTGAAGGCCGCGCCTCGCAATTTGGGTCGCGGGCTTAAGGACTCCAACGTACAGTATCTAGTGCGTCTAAGCGTCTGAAGAGAAGTGTAGGAACATGCCTAAAACGTTAATGTCATAGGTCACACACCACAAAGTAAAACGTTAACGTATTATCTGGTCACGAGCCATACAGGTACAAGTTTTTGCTGCTACGCGTCAACTGCATACCTTGGCCTTCTGCACACCGATCATCTCGTTGCTTCAATACTACTAAAAAGTGGCATGCCCTCGCACTGGAATCAAGCCAGATGGAATTGAACAGTAAATACACCCCAACACCGCTTCATCTACACTAGCAAGTGCTGCTGCACTGTCAACAAGTGCTACAGCTAAGATACGTGCTGCTGCATTTTACGCCAGCTGGACCTGAGTGGAGTAGGGGCAGCCAAGGAACTCCCCAATCTGCTGCATGAGGTACTGCTTCTCGCTCACACTCAGGTTCATGCCAAAGCGGTGTGAGCGAACGCCCTCCGAGGCCTCACATGCCGTAAAAAAACCGGCAAAGGAACCCTGCAGTCAGCCAGGGGATGAGTTGAACATGGAAAGAAATGAACAGGGCTAGGATAGCCAACACAACAGCGACCGCTGAAAGGGTAGATAGCCACCACCACATGCCTCAACCACCACCACATGGCTGCATCATCAGCTCCCCACATAAATGCATGCTACAGACATTTCAGCAGGAGAGCATCAAAGCATTGCCCAAGCGCACCTGAGTGCATCAACTCACCCCCAAGACGCCGTTGGTCCCAGCTGTAATAATTTGACAGGTGGTGCTCGACTTGCAGGAGACTAAGTATAGAATCTGCTTGAGTCAAGCCTTGGGTATAGTAGTATCTCTACTACTCGATAATACTTGTAAGGATCGTAATTCTGGAATGGTAGACTAGTAAGATAGCGGAAGTCTTATAAGAGTGACCCTGAGCACATGAACTTGTGGGTAGTCAAAGGTTGAATAGCCTCGGCACATAATTCTGTGGAAAGTCAAGGTTTTAATAATAGAAAAGACATTACAAGGATTTATAGCTCTAGGAAAAGTACCTGTTCGGCTAGTTGCGCGCTATGCGACCTATTCGTCATACTATAGGGCCGCGACTGTTCGCGTGACTGAAACGACTCGTTACGCCTAATCGCGTAACTGAAGCGGTATGCACGTCATCCCAAGACCCGTGATGCTTTGCTGACATCAGCACTCGGGCATGGTTAGTTACTGAGAAACGCGATACTGCAAGCTACACCAAAAACGGAACTTGCATGAATGCAAAACTTCATATATCACAACACTCCCCTTCATTCCTGGAAGTTCGATGTAGTCACGTCGTGGTTGGAGTTCCGCGAATGAGGTCTGCAGTTTTGAATCTTGTGATGTGTCAACTTAATGTGCTGTAAACAGTCGGCGGTCATTCCATTGGTCTAATGGTAGACCTATCGCGTTCTTCCCTTGTTGATGACGAATTTTGGCTTTGACGAAGTGCGTGTAGATCCTCCTTTCCCCCCTCACTTCGGCAGAGTAAAAATGAGTCGGGTTGAAAGTGGTTGGGGTTGCGCCAATGAACGTGGCAAGGTTGAAGGGGATGAATGCAAAACCACGAGAGTGTTGCACGTGGTGGAGAGGAGCCTCGACATCATTTGGAGGCTTGCCAAAGGACCGTGAAGTGACGGGCAGATCTGATGGTGCAGTTTCGGGCAGAGAAATTTGTTGAGTCAGCAGTGGATGCAGCTGCTCACGTAGCTCGTGTAGGGCACTGCTCAACCGTTCTGCTTCGTTGCATTGTTGAACGCTATGATGAAGGGTTTGATGACGATTGATGCCCATGCCTCCCTCGTAAACGTTGGAGCTCGTAGGGTGATAATCGGCTGCTCTGTAGTATAGGAAAGTTTGCAGCGTGGTACTGAGCTCGCTAGCTGCTATAGTCAGCCACACAAGAATCAAGATGGTGAAATATGAAAGAAGTAAAAGCCTTGAGAATGAGTAGCCTTTCTCTGGGAGACTGGTAGTTGAAGAATTGTCAGAAGGCTTGTCGAGAGTAGTTGTAGCGTCGAAGAATAATTCAGGTGCGAGTTGCAGAGTTTCCTCGTCATCTTGAATAATATTTTCCTTGATATTAACGGCACGTGTGTCGGCAAGGATGTTGGTGGTGTTGCTACTCTGATTTTCTTCTTTGATGCTACTGAAGTCCATTGGTGCAGCGGTTACCAAAGCTATTGCTGCGATGATTGGAGGAGCTTGAGGGAGAGTGACATCTTCGGAAGATTTTGTTGCTTCGAATCGTAAGACAAATACGACATTCTTGGTTACTGCTCTTCCGATGTATGTGCTGTCCACATCATATAATAACTCTTGCTCTTGTATCGTGCAGTTTCCGACCGTGCGGATTTTCTTCTTCAAGAGTTGGTTAGTTGACACTAAATTGAAACCGAGGTTGTCGACGAGTAAAACCTTGGTAAAGAGGTTCCCGTATCGATTGATGTCAAAAGTAGACTGCCGATATTTTATGCTGCAATTGTTTGACCGTTGGCGAGTGTGATTGGGCAGGGTTGAAGAAGTCGACGACGGTTATAGATGAAAGGATTTGTTGAAGAGACCATGTGATGGCCACAACAACTATCCAAGTACCAAGTATCGGTATCTGAACTGCAATCAGCCATGTGAGTGTTTGCAGTAGGTAAGAAATTTTTTGAGGTTACCGTATTGTTGGCAGAGTTTGAATTATTTGCTGCCGGCTTCGATAACTTGATTGGAGGAACACAGTTGAGTGACGTTGGTGTTGTTGATGTTGCAGATGTTGCTTTTGGAGGCACAGACTGCTGCAAAGACTACTTCGAAGGCTGTCGTAGTTGCTGTAATGATTGCGACCTCTGCGATTCTTCAGGAGGTAAATACCTCTTGTTAAAGTAGCACAGGTCGGTAGAATGTCCTCCCTTGTAGCAAATCTGACAGAAGTATCGAGGACGTCGAGTTGTTGTTGAATAGAAACAGAGTTGTATATCCCCCTTTTTGTTGCGTTGTGGCTGTAGGTCAAGATCTTGTTGTTCTGCTTGAAGATACGAGGAAATCTCGACTTCGGAGAGATTCGGGTTCATGCGCAAGAAGGCGCGCGTCTGTCGCCACTCGGGACCAAGTCCAGCAAGAAGGACCGTGAGATACATCTCACGAGGGAAGTATCCACCACTCTTCTCCAATTGATCTCGTAGTGTGTGTACACGATTGACATAATCCATGACATACTCATTTGTCATCATCTGCACATTTGTCAGCTGCGAAAGAATCTTACTCACTGTGATTGTATCCTTCGCCATGTATACCCCTTTTAAGTGGTTCCATGCAGTTTCAGCTAGCGTGAAGCTGGAATGAAAGGATCGAACGCCGAGCTGCTCCTTTGCCGATAAGTTTCGAACAAGAACTGTATACGCCCCGAGAGAGGCGTACAAGAAACTTTGTTCCTCCAGTTGTGTTCCCATAACAGGATATGTAAACTCGCCGGTGAAGAACGGCCATAGCCCGGCAGACTGCGCTAGAAGTTCAAACTCGAAGCTCCAGGAGTAAAAATCAACTCCGTTAAAAGGTATAGTGGTCTTGATCTGTGTGCTGTTAAGTAAATTCGGTGGTTGAAAAATAATCCCCTGTTGTTGAGGTTGTTGCTGTTGCTGCTGCTGTTGAAATTGCTGTGGATGTTGCTGCTGTTGCAGTTGTTGCTGATGTTGATGTTGTTGCTGCTGTTGTTGTTGTTGAGCAGATGAACGCCCGAAGACGTAAAAGGGCTGCTGCTGCTGCTGAGACTGCGGCTGTTGCGTAAAAGGTGAGAATGCAAACGAGCCAATACTTGGAGTTGAAGCTCCACGCATGTAACTTGAGCCGTCAAGACTCATTCCACTAAATGATAACGATATTGACTGAGTTGAAAACTGTGGTGTTGTCTGTTGTTGTCCTGTTGCCTGTTGTTGTGCTGTTGCCTGTGTTTGCTGTTGTTGCGCTGCAGGTGCAGTCGATGAAATCCCTGGAGTACTCACAGAAGGCGGATTTTGTTGCTGCTGCTGCATACCAATATGCGCATAAGCTGGTGGAAACGGTCCAGAGGCTGAGAGACCAGTGGCAGTCGTGGAGACAGGTACTCCAGTAGTTCCGGAACTGGATCCGGTAGACTGTGCTGGCGTTGTTCCAGTCATTGTTGACAGTAGTCTTAATTCCAGTCAGCTCTCATACCATGTAATAATTTAACAGGGTGGTGCTCGACTTGCAGGAGACTAAGTATACAATCTGCAAACACGAACACTTGGAAATCTCAAGTGTTAGCCTAGGATCTTTATTGGAATGGTAGACTAGTAAGACAGCGGTAGTCTTTATAGGAGTGAACCTAAGCACATGAACTTGTGGGTAGTCGAAGGTTGAATAACCTGAGCACATAATTCTATGGAAAGTCAAGGTTGTAATAATAGAAAAGGCATTACAAGGATTTATAGCTCTAGGAAAAGTACCTGTTGGCTAGTTGCGCGCTATGCGACCTATTCGTCATACTATAGGTCGCGACTGTTCGCTTGACTGAAACGAACTCGTTATGCCTAATCGCGTAACTGAAGCGGTATGCTGACGTCATCTCGAGACCGTGATGCTTTGCTGACATCAGCACTCGTGCATGGTTACTTACTGAGAAATGGGATACTGCAAGCTACACCAAAAACGGAACTTGCAGGAATGCAAAA